AAAGTTGCAGGATACAAAATCAACATACAAAAATCAGTTGCATTTCTGTACACTAACAACGAGGTAGCAGAAAGAGAAATTCAGAATACCATCCCATTTACAATTGCAATAAAATACCGCTGAACGAGGTTGTGTTCAGCTCTCCAGGCACACAGACAATGTGGGCTTTGGTGGACCACAGGCAGTCCTTTACCAGAGAGAAACAGACGATGGCTGTTGGTAGTGAAAGCGCCTCCAAAATAGGTGTGCGTGAAAATGGTAAAGGGATGAGGGGATCAGGAGGGGCACTGGGCATGCATCGAGGTAAAAAGTGAGGGGTCAATGACTATGCATGATGGGAAGAAGACACTTTGGGGGGCAATTAGCAGTCACTGCCAGGTGAGACAACAGCAGTAGTGAGATGTGAATATTGTTGTGAAATGGAAAGTCAGTACAGGAATGAGCAGAACTGGGGAAGCTGAATACTAAGTGTTAAGAGAAGTATGCCCAACAGGACACAGAAAATGAAAGCAACAACTATCTTGGAAGGTGGGGGTGAGATGTGGTTGAAATCAGGAGGATTGATTAAAAGTCTCTGAGAAAACAGCAGATTCATTAAAGAGGAGGCATTCATCAATAAAAAATATTTTAAATAATTTGCAGAACTAAAAGACATGGTTTTTGAAAGGGTTTGCTGAGTGCCCACCATAATGAATGAAACAACAAACAAACCCACCCTGAGGCACATTGTTATTAATTTCAGAGCATCAGAGGTAAAGAGAAGATTCTACAGGGGCTGGCCTGGTGGTGCAACCTGTTAAGTGCATGCGCTCTGCTGCAGCGGCCCAGAGTTCGCCGGTTCAGATCCCAGGTGCACAGCAACGCGCCGCTTGTCAAGCCATGCTGTGGTGGTGTCCCATATAAAGTGGAGGAAGATGGGCATGGATGTTAGCCCAGGGCCAGTCTTCTTTAGCAAAGAAAACAGGAGGATTGGCAGATGTTAGCTCAGGGCCGATCTTCCTCACACACACACACACCAAAAAAAAAAAAAAGAGAAGATTCTACAAGCTTCCAGAAAGACAAACAAGGCCCAGAGAATAGTCAGAGGAGAATGGAGCAGAAAAATACAGGGTTTTGGGTAGAGGGGACTGAGTGTAAGCAAACAATAGAATTCTTGATGCTTTGTTGAAAGCGAATTAGGAGCGTGTTTTACAATTCTGTTGGTAAGTTTTAGAAGGACTAGTGATTCTGTAATAACAGACAACTGTGCAAACAGATCCCAAAAGATGGAATCTGTTAACTTCAGGAAAAAAAAGTTGAAAAATAAATGTAATCTTAGTGTACACCTCTTGGCTCAGCAGTAAACAATACTGATGTGGTTATATGAGGTGAACATCAATTACTGATTTTACCAATAATTATGACAGCACTATATTGGGAACTCAAAGGAAGGGGAGTCATGGGGTAATAGAAGAGTGCTAAATCTTCTATTTTCCATAATAGAAAATTGGTAGACAATGTCAAAAATTAATGAGAAAAATGGCAATTTTAAACATCATATTTAGAAATTCAGAGGGAAAGATCAGACTAATATTTTAAAGTCTACTTTAAGGGGCCGGTCCGGTGCCGTAGTGGTTAAGTTCGCGTGCTCTGCTTTGGCGGCCCAGGGGTTCGCTGGTTTGGATCCTGGGCGCAGACCAACACACCGCTCATCAAGCCATGCTGTGGCAGGCGTCCCACATAGAAGAGCTACAATTCTACAACTATGATACAGAACTATGTACTGGGGCTTTGGGGAGAAAAAAGAAAAAAGAGGATGATTGGCAACAGATGTTAGCACAGGGCCAATCTTCCTCAAAAAAAAATAAATTGGAAAAAATAAAGTCTGCTTTAAAAATGGGTTTTTGCTTTACACTTGCATACATAAACCCATTTGGATGATTTTCTCAAAACAAAGGAACTGTTTTTCCTAGAGAAGTCTTGATGATCCCACCTCTTCAGAAACAAAAACCAGTTTGCAGCTGATAGTATTTTTTTGTTTGCCTTTTTTTTCCTGTTTCTATCCTTTGCGGTTTCAAAAGTCCTAGGCTGAGAATTTCAACTGGGCAGCCCAGACCCCACCACCTGGAGCCACTCAGGGTCATAGGCTCTGTCTGTTGTGATGTGTTTGATTGTGCTGGGCTGGTTTTGCTACTCATGGAATGATGATGAACACACATATTAGCTACAGGAATATTTGGCAGGAGGAGGAGATGTCTTCAGTCCAAACTTCATCAAACTTGTATGTCTTTTAACTTTTTATTATAAAAAATTTCAAACAGGGGCCAGCCAGGTGGCGCAAGCAGTGTGCTTGTGCGCGCTGTGCTGCGGTGGCCCGGGGTTCGGCGGTTCGGATCCCGGGCGCGCACCAACGCACCTCTTGGCAAGCCATGCTGTGGCGGCGTCCCATATAAAGTGGAGGAAGATGGACACGGATGTTAGCCCAGGACCACTCTTCCTCAGCAAAAAGAGGAGGATTGGCAGATGTTAGCTCAGGGTCAGTATTCCTCACACACACACAAAAAACCATTTCAAACATAAGCAAAAGTAAAAGACTCGTATAATGAACCCCTATGCACCCATCACCGACCCTGCTTCAACAATGATCAATTGCTGACAGTTCTTGTTTCATCTACTCTGCCCCCATTATTTTGAAGCACACCCCAAACATCATATCATGTTATTTCTCACAACCATAATCTAAGTTTCCTGGGCCATAGACCATCCCATACAAAAAATCTTCCACAAGGAACTTTTAGGACATAGCTTTTATGTTAATTACTTAATAAATGATATAAAAGCATATCTTTGTATTTGTTTTTTTCATTAATTGCAGTATCTTTATGGCATGACATGGATTTATGGAAATGGCACTCTGGAGAATTTACACCTGTAGGAAATAAAAGCTTGATTTACACAGGCTAAACTTTTCACTGTCATTGAGGAATCCAATGAGGTCCTAAATTCATGTGACTCCTCTGCTCAGAGCAGTTTCCCATCCCACTAACACTTCTCCATCCCACTAACAGTTCCCCATCCCACTCTGAGTAAAAGCCGGAGTCCTTCCAATGGCTACCAGGCCCTGTGTGGTCTCCCCATCCTGTTCTTACTTCTTGGTCCTCATTGCTTACCATCCTCCCCCAGCCCACATTGCTCCAACCATCTTTGCCTTTTTGCTAATCCTCTAACCTGCCAAGGATTTTTCTGCCAAAAGACCTTGGCATCAGTTGTTTCTTTGTGCCTGGACTGCTCTTTCCCAGATACCCACACATCTCACTCTCTTACTTCCTTCAAGCCTCTGTTCAAATATCACTTTCTCAGTGAGCCCTTCCCTGAGCACCCTCTACAACATTACAGGTGCCCTCTCCCCCCAGCCTTTCCATACCATCCTTACCCTGTCTTATTTTCTTTCTCATAGCAGTCATCACCATCTGTCTTTTATTGATTTACATTTTATTTATCGTCCCTTCCCAGTAGAACACAAGCTCCATGAGACGAGGGACTTTGTGTGGTTTTTTTTCCTCTCGCTGTATTCCCAGTGCCCAGAATAATAGTAGACACATTAACAAGTTGCAGGTCACCTGTATACCACTATTTAAAAACTTTACAAACACTTAAATAGAACTCACCATATACCAGGCACTGTTCCAAGCCCTTAAAAATATTACCTTATTTAGTCCTCCTAACAGTCCCATCCAGTAGGCAGTAATATTATCATTCCCCATTTGACAAATGAGAAACTGATGCACAGAGAGGTTTAGTAACCTAGCCAAAGTCGTATAGGTAATAAGTGAAAGATCCAGGCAGTCAGGCCCCAGAGTCTGCACATCTAACCCCTGGACAATGATGTCTTTCAAATATATAGAAAACACCTAATAAACGCTTCCAAAATGAGATGGAATTTTTCTTTTAAAAGCATTCAGATTTCAGGGAGAGTTACTATCGCCTTGTGCTGTTGATTCCAACTACTGGAGGCATTCCCCATGTTCCATTCACAAATAGCAATCTGTGGTGGCACCTCCTGTTAATAAAGTCAAAGAGAAAGATGCCAGTATATTTAGTGCTATGCTTAAAAGACCTGCAGACCTATTCTGTTCTTTTGAAAGCAAAAACATGGTAGCCTTTCTGGCCAGGTACTGTGTGCCCACGTATCATTGCCGCAAGTCCTTGTAAGTCACGTGACCTTTCTTCCTTTACGGAGGAAAGCAAGGAAGGCAGGACACTCTAGTGTGTACACCAACTTGTGTAACCAGATTGTGGGAGGGGTGGGCACTTGCACAGCTAGTGCCACCAATACCACAGGAGAATTTATTGGAACAGCATTTTTTTCTATATTAAGTTGCCGTGCTGTACTCTAATGAGCTATTCTGAAAAAAGGTTGTCTGTGTCTTTACAGGTGAAGTTGGCTTCATAAATAAAGCTCTTCGTATGTTAAAGAAGACATAGTTTCTACTGTGAGCTGGAAAGGCACCAGAAGAAATCTGTACTATAGAAGGTAATCAATATCCGTGTGTTTCCTCCCTGGACTCTTGAGTTTGCAACTCATCCTTTTTATCTGTGTATCCTCAGCTGCTACCGTGGTGCCGGGCACAGAGCAGCCCTTGAGAGGTTCTTGAATAATCGATGCAGTAACGTGTGATCACTTATGTAAAGCCGCTTCCTGCGCGGTGGAGCGACCCCGCCAATTGTCCTCGCACCGCTGCCTTCGCGGGTGTAGTCAGAATTAAAATACCCAGGTTTCACCAACACGGTGAGGGTCCACAGGGTTCCCAGGACACGCCGGCTCCGAGGGGCACCCACCAGCTGCAGCTGACCGAGAGCGCCGTTTCACCGCGGGTCCTTGAGGCTACTCCCCTAGCCGCCAAAACGAGCGGGCTGCACGCAAGCTGCCCTTACCCTGCGCTGGAGGCGGCGGCCCCGGCCGGCCGCACTCGGTCCTCCGCGATCCCACGCTCCCTTGCGCCAAGGACACGACCGGCGGCTCCGCAGGGCCCTTCTACAGCACGGCGACGCCTCTCTATGGTCCGTCGCCGCGTCCAGAGTGGGTGTCATGGCGGCCGGCGTTGAGTTGGCAGGAGTTGCCCACGGAACTGGGGAAAGTCACTAAAGCAGAGGAAGAAGTGGCCCAACCCGGACGGTGGGAAGTCGTAGGGATGAGCGGAGGCCCCGCTGTGCCCCGGCGGTGACTGTGTCCCTGGAGGCGGGCCCCTGGTAAAGTCCCAGGCCAGGCCTCTGCGTTTCTAGGCAGAGCCGGGCCGTTCGTGCGAACCCGGGAACCGGCGTTGCCTGGGAACCCCTCATTGTGTTATCGAATCCTGAGCGTTTTGATTCGGACTGGTCCCGCGGAGGCAGCGGTTCGAGGACATTTGGCGAGGTCGTCCGACGAGGCTGGACGCTTTTCTCGGAGCGGACCAGATCGTTCTCTAACCCGCAGCGATGTCGTCCTGGTTGGGGGGCCTCGGCTCCGGCTTGGGCCAGTCTCTGGGTCAAGTCGGGGGCAGCCTGGCCTCCCTCACTGGCCAGATTTCCAACTTTACGAAGGACATGCTGTTGGAGGGCACGGAGGAAGTGGAAGGTAACAGCTGGAGCGATGGGAGGGAGGGTTTTTCTGGGACCCTGGGAGCCTCCGTTTGGTCCCCCCTTCCATCCGTCATGAGGCGCGGACGGGTCGCAGAGGAGTGTCACTCCGCCCTTTTCTTAGACTCCTTTTTGCCTCTTCTTAACCGGTTTTCAGTGATGAAAGACCACTGCAGTCTGGGGGAAGAGTTCTGGTTCTCCTCCCTTTAAATTCGCGGGGTATCTCCGAGCAGAGCGAAACTGCTCCCACGTCGATTCTAGTTTATTTTTGTTTGGTTCATCCACGCCCACCGCTTGCTTTGCCCTTAACTTGGGGGCAGTACTGATTTTGATCTTCTTCCTTTATACTGACACAGTTTAAAAAAATAATTAGTTCTAGGACACATAGTCACTTTTTCTTGTTTTCTTCGTTTTTTGTAATAGTTGAAGTAACTCATTAAAATATTTGGTGATTCTTAGCCTTTCTGACTTGAAATTATTGCTAGTGAAACATGGCTATCTATGTTTTTCCTATTAGTTATTTTATATTTTTGCTTATTCTGGTGACACGTTACAGCGTTCCAGCTGAAAATGTCTTTTTGTGCCTGATTGCCCGTTCCTCTCATTTTTTGACGGTAGAACAAGGAAGATACCCTCTTCTTTGGTTGTCCTTAGCAACCTTCGCTCATTTTTGCAGTCCTCATTTTGTTTTACTAATGAATAGTGACCCAGAGTTACATGGTAATCGATGGTTAAGTTAATTACTATTTTATTTTCTTGATGTTTCTTTCAGCAAGCAGTATTTAGATCAAAAGAGTTCTTGAATTTCCATCTAGGTCTGCTTCCAGAGAGAGGAAGGCTGGACTTTTGGATGAGAACAGTTCCTTTGCCAGGAAGGAACTGCTTATTTTTATTTCTTATAAATTAATAAATTAGCATTCTGCTTTAATTTTTTTATCCTTATTTAACTGAGCCTTCGTATTTATTTGGTTGAAATAGAGAAAGATAGTTTGATAAAAAGACAATATTAGGATTTCACTGGGGTCTCTTTAGAAGAGAGGAAGATTGGGGAGCTGCTGAAATCCGTTTTGCTGCTTGGTCTACCCCTTGGGAGGGAGGTACATCAGATAGGACAGGTTGGTGATGGGAGTAAAAGAAATTCTTCCTGTGTCCAGGAGAGGGTCATGTGACCTTGAGGGCAAATAGAAGCAGTGAAGGGCTGGATACCAGGGGAAACGACTAGTCTCTTCTTGTGTCCTACATAGGGGGAAAACAGTTGGCTAGTCCTTTGACCCTTAGCCAGAAAATATGCTTCCTCCAATCTGGAGGTCCTGCACGCTTTAGGTGGAATTCATTTTGTTCTTCTCTCTAAATGTGCTGCTGTATTCTCAGTCTTAATGGTTTCACTATCTCCCCGATCTCCGAAACTAGAAGTCTTTGTCATCTTTGTTTTGCCTTTTTCTTTTTCATCTCCTACTTCACCAAATTGGTCACCAAATCTTATTCATCCTGTGCCAGAATTGTTTCTTATGTTGTCTTTCCTTTTCACTCCTCCTTTTTTAGTTCAGACCCCCATTATGTCTCCCGTGCACTGTTTCTCTTTCAGGTCCTGTTGCCCATATCTCCCTACTCCACTCCATTTCCTGTTGTGTTGCCAGTTACATTTCTGCAAACAAGTGTGCTTTAAAATCTGTTGACTGTTACTTACGGGATAAAGTCCAAACCTCTTAGTTTGGGGAGACCAGAAACCTGTCCTCTCTGGGTTCAACCTACCGTTTCCAGTCTTACCTCCTGTTCCCCTCCCCTTCTGTCCCACTTGCCACACATATGCACATTAACATACACATGCAGGCTTGCACCCAGAGCTTCTGCCACATGGAGTTTTGTGAGGTACCTACAACTCCAAGCCTCTGCATAGAAAGCCCTTCTTTTTCTACTTGCTCCTCTACCTTCCTCTACCCAGAAGACAATTTTTCCTGTACGACCCTGTTCACATGTCAAGTACTCGGTGAAACCATTCTCACTCCGTGGCAGATTGAGTTGATGCAGTGAGCTCTGTTGTAACAGAACCTTGTGGATCTCTTTCTAACAACACTTACCATGTGGAGTTATAATTTCTCTCTTCCCTTGATGCCCAGGGTAGGGACTGTATTTTATTTATCTTTATATTACCAGTATGTGGCATCTTTCTTGGTACATAGTAGGTGCTCAGAAAAAATTTTGCTGAGTGATTAAAAATCTGCAAAGTTGCTTAATGCTTTTATTGTTTTGCCTTTGTGTTAAAATGGGACTTGCTTAACACCTAATTTATTGATTTTGTAAATCATTTAAAAATAGGGTCAGAGTATAGTTCATTTATTCATTCAACAAGTATTTATTGAGTGTCTATCCTGTGCCAGCAGTGAACAAGATAGCAGTTCCAAAATAGCACTGTTGGTACAGCTTGAAAATCATCCATGTTTACAATATGAGAAAGTTGCTATTCTACCAGACACTCTATTGATTTCTTCAAGGTTAGGAGCTTGGGCTTTTAAATCAGACATGAATTGAAATTACACTTCCATGCATTACAAATTGTGGGATCTTTGGCAAATTATTAAATACTTAACCTCTAAAAAGCGGAGTTTGCTTATCTGTTACATAGAGATAATCATACCTACCATGAGGTTGGGAATATTAAATGAAATCATGAGTGTAAAATGCCTAGCACTGTGCCTAGCAAATAGTAAGCATTAATAAACGGTAGCTGTTATTTTTGTTTTCCCTCGTTAAGGAAGAATTTTTTGGTTTGCATAACATCTTCCCTTTATTCTTAAAAAGGCCAGGATTTTTGGGGGGGGTGAGTGGGGGAAGTCTACATAAACCTTTTTTTTAATCCCTCTTTGAAACAGTTGCTGCTTCTAACAATTACCTTCCTAAACAGATTAGGTTATAATTGGTTCTCTTCTGAGTAGCAATTAGACAGTCTTTCCAGAGTTTCAAGCAAGATGTATAAACAACCACAGAAGCAACCCTGCCTGGTGGTTTTCAAAACAAGAAGAGCGGGTTTGTCACTGTTGTTATTGGATGCCATTTGTATTTTCTTTTGATTTAAACTGTAATTCAGAGAAGTTATTTTTATAGTATTAAAGTGCTGTGATGAAAAATACTAGTAATTAGAAAAAAATAACTCTGTGGGTGATGATGAGATTCTGGCACCATCAACAGTGCCATTTTGGCAGTGCTGGCCTCTGACTCTCCTTTTAAATGAAAATGTACAAAACCAGACTGAGCTCGTTACCCATTTTAAATATATTGTGTCCATGTTACTTGAAATAAGTGTTCTTTTGGTGCATTTTCATTCTTTGTTTATAGGTCATTAATTATTTGATAGTATGGGGAGCAGATCTGTTGGTTGTCATACTGTGGCGGCTGTGTGTTTCTGTGATGCTGGAAGCTGTGCCACTGGTTATTTCAAATACCAGCAGGGTCACCCATGGTGGACAGGTTTCAGCAGAGCTTCCAGACCAAGACAGACTGGGAAGAAGGACCTGGCCACCCACTTTCAAAAAATTGGCCATGAAAACCCTATGAATAGCAGCGGAGCACTCTCTGATATAGCTCCGGTGCGAGGATGGTGCAAAAAGATGGGGACGAGTTCTGCTCTGCCGTATACAAGGTTGCTAGGAGATGGAATTGACTTGATGGCACTTCCGACAAATTGGGAGCAGAAGTTAGAAATAAAGTCTTAAACCCCAGTTGCGTAAGTTTCATTCTAAGCCAACAGAGAGAGATTTAATTTGTAAAACTTGATAACAAAATTTTAATGAATACTTCCAGGGGTAAAGATAGACATCCTAGAATGTAGAAGGTAGACAAAAAGAATCACTTATATGGCAATAAAGAACATTTGTGGCAATAGAAAGTTGTGATAAAAATGAAGTGATACTTGTCTTCTGAATTTGTTCTCAGATCAGCATACCATTCTGTTTAAAGCTCAGTGAAATATATTTTCCTTAAAATGCCTGTTAATTACTTCACATGATGTTGATCATATATTCAGTATATGCTGTTTCTTTCGTAGCAGAATTACCTAATTCTAGGAGAAAGGAAATTGAAGCCATTCATGCAATCCTAAGATCAGAGGTAAGGAAAATTAAAGACTACTATTGAACTTAGATTTTTCTTTTTTGAAGTCCTGAAAGTTATTCATACTTTATTTCAGTCCTCTCTTTTTAATGCACTGCTTACCACTTTTTATCTCTTCCCCTTTATGTCAGTTTTTTAAGCATTATCGTCTTCCTTTAGATGAAGAATATGTTTACGTGTTACTGCACTTTGCTATTTAATATTCCCATCTCTGCTTCTATATGCTGAAAGTAGGAAAGTTGCCAAATGGAGAAGTAATAGTGGCAACAATTTATCATTAGCAAAGATTTACTGTTCTAACAGTGTGCTAAATTGCAGTAGTACATTTATTTAAGTATGGTGTGAAGAATGCAATTCTGATTAATCTAGAGGTTTTTAATTCCCTAACATTAAAAAAAATATGATATTTGTATACAAAGAAGTTAAGAATATAGGAATAGGAAATTAATTTTATCATTTTTTTCATTATTAGTCACTGCCTCATGGTGACTGGCTCTGGACATTGTACTTAATAAGGATGGGGAAAACTTGGAAAGGGTTCAAAGGAAAGCCGTAAAGAAAAGGAAAGGATTTAAAGTGGGATCTATTGTAAAGTACTAAAGACACTCAACTGTTTAACCTTTGGATAAGAATAGTGAGGGAACACTTAATAGTATTTCAGCAAAAGATATTCTCAGGGGACTGTGGAAAGCATGTTCTCCTTTATGCTAAGCCCATAAGAAGAGAAAATTGAATATAAATCTAAGAAAATATTTACTGACAATAAACATTATTGAATCTAGTCTGGTTTTACCATGGTGAAAGTAGAGGGACCTCTTGAGAGGAACTACAGTAGTATTCTGCCTCAATAGAAGATGGCAATTTGGTGGCACTTAAGAGACCTTAGCTGTAATTACCTAATAAGTAGGTGCTTTAGTGACAGACGAACTTAGTAGCTTCTTTAGTCTCTAAAGAAACCCTTGAGAAAGCACTCATTAGTACAGGCCCACCCAGAAAAATTAAATGGCAGAGCTGTGTGTAGTGGCATTAATTTAGGTACATTTGCCAGTGTACATTTGGAGGGGAAGGTAAATAGGGTTGACCTGCTTAATGAATGTCTGCTCTGTATTGAGCTTGAGAAAGGAGATAGAAATCTTCTGCCACTCTGTTGATCTCAATTCTAATCTCTCTCAGAATGTTATCATTGGACAATGGCAAGTATGATTTCAGTGTTTAGAAATATTTATTTTTGGTATAATACATCCCCAGATGAAAGCTAGCTTCCTCATTTGGTGCTTATTCAAAGTAGCATGAGCTACTCAAATACTAGAGGAAAACAGACGGACTTCCCAAGGGCTTTATTTTCTGAGATGATTTTGACTATACATGATTCTCACCTTACGTCAGCACATAAGCACTTCATACCCTAACCCCTTATGTGACTGTGCAATAAGAGAATAAGGTGAAGATGTGATTGAAGTCGTCAGGAAACTTACAATGTGAAATTCTATTTAGAAAGTTTTACTAGAGATAGAGGGCAGTGTGTTTTTCAGAGGAAATTAGATTTGTTTACAGATGTTAATATTTGACGCTGACTGAATTAGTTAGGTTTCTTCAGTTGCAAGTAACAGCAACTAACCTGAGCTAATTTAACCCTCTATGCCAAGAAAAATACTCATCACGTTTACCATCTGGATCCAGTGGACTCTTACATTTTTTTATATTAAATAATTTACAAATAATTTACGGAAGAATAAAGTGATAGTGAAAAACTTTAGAAATTTTAATAAGAACTTATATATAGCAAATCCAGATTTTTATTCCATATGTTTCTAGTGTTGAAAACATATATACTCAAAATAGGCAACGTTCTCTGAATGCAGTTAACTGCTCATTAACTCTTATGCATGAACTGGAATGTATCTTATCTTGTAAATACTGATTCCAGATTTCAGTTATCCCTAGTAGGTTTTAGCTTTTCATTACTTCTGGTTCTTTTTCTTGACTGTGTTGTTATAACCAATACTTTTGAAAACTTTGAGGGCTCATGATTTTGTTGGAGAGACAATGGCTGTCATCTTTGCTCCATAGTTACAAAGCATTTTTATTCTTAGATTTATAAATACCAATCAGAATGATCACTACACTGATTTTTTTTTGTTTTTATGTCATCTGTTACCTCTCAGTCACCTTTGTATACACACCTGCCTTCAGCATTTGTCCATGTATGAACTATATCAAGTAAATGTTGGTGTATGAATATCATGTATAATGAAAGAATACTGTCACATATCCATTTAGCAAAGTGGAATGGTTCAGGTCCTTGTCACAAATTATTGTGAGATAAAATCTTTTCTTATTGAATGACCAACTTGATGAGAACACCATATTTCCTTTTTGTTCTTAGAAATATATTGTTCACTCATCAATTCTTGAGTTTGAGAAAATTTATCTAGGATATTGTTCTTTGAAGACTTGTCTGAGATTTTCCTTCTATACTCGGTCTCACCATAAACATTAGGCTCTAGAGTACTGTTTTCTGTCTCTCTACATTTATCTTCTTAGTCGTCTAACAGTTGTGAAATATTTTCCTCTGTCAGTTTTCTTCTGTTTGTTGAAAAACGAAAATTCTGAATTTTCAACTGTGTTCAATAAAAGAAGGAAAAAGCTACAAAGATGGTGTCTCCAGATTGCTTTTTCCTTTTTAAAAGATTATGGCAATAGCATGGGCAATGCAGTCAGAAAACTGGTTATTTCACTATTGCATCATTCTTCTAGGTGATTTCATCAGTCTTCCGTTTTCTTATTGTTTAAGTCTCTTTAGCATAGTTGGGAATAATTGATGAATAATGATAAAATTATTCTTGGAATGATAAAACAGCAGAATGTTTCAATTTTTAATTGTTTTGAAATGTTTTAAGATACAGGAAAAACAAGATCATTACGATCCCGTGATTATTCTTAGATTTATAAAAGGGTCCAGTGTACCCTTATGGTAATTGCAAGATAGAAAGAGTTTTATTTTATTAGAAAAAATAAATTTTCTCTGTTGGAAGACCTCTAAGAAAGAATAAAAGTCATAAATATCGGTCCTTACAGATAGTTAGGACTGCTCAAAAAAGAAACTCACAGACTAAAATTAGTTCCACTAGACCTTTATGGTATAACAAGGGTTAAGCAGGATGGAATAATTTAAGGATATGAGTATCTCATGAATTCCGAGAGTGGGAATTGTAGCCAGTCTTTAGGAAGGGGCTACCTCCTGAACTGGAGGGCATCAGGAATCTGTCTCTCATTTTTACTCCTCTCTGTTCTTTTGTTTGTTTATTCTTTTCTCCTTTCAGACCAGCCCCCTCTGCTCTATATTCCACATAATAGAAAATATGGCCACTGACAACTCCTGGTATGTTATGGGTCAGCCACATGAAGAGAGGCTGTCCTTCATGTGCTTTTCAACCATTCTGACTCTCTGTGGCTAGGGAGATGAGGGGAGACAACCATTTAGGTATTGGCCAACTTCAAAGTTTTTGAATTCTAGCTATTAATCAGATTTGAACAAATAGCCTTAAGTGTTTTTATGTGAGAAAGCCTAGAGTGGACTTTTATGACTAGGTTTTGACTTCAGTATATTGCTTCAATTATGTATGGTGTTTTTCATGTTAGCAGCTCACAGAAAATCATGCAAATGCAGCCAGTAGAATAGAAAGTAATTAGTTGTTTGACCACTGGTCCTGTTTCTTCTTATTTCTTCAAGATAACCAAGGTCTGTGTTAGATTTCAGAAGATAGACTCCCAAACTAGGATTGTGTATGTTGTAATATTTTCTTTTAATTTACTCCATTGATTTTATCTGGAAATTCATATAATCTCCTTGGGTCATAATTTTCACATCTGTTGATATAAGAAATTCCTAGAAGCTAAGAAGAAAACAGGCCAGCCCTGGTGGTCTAGTGGTTAAGAGTGGCCTGGGTTCGTTTCCTGATCAGGGAACCACACCACCAGTCTGTTGGTTGTCATACTGTGGTGGCTGCATGTTGCTGTGATGCTGAAAACTAAGAGGAGGGCGCAGAAAGACTGGGCAGGTTCTCCTCTGCTGTTCCCAGGGTTGCTAGGAGTGGGAATCAACTTGTGGGTACTGACAGCAAAAAAAGAAAACAGATGACATCCTTAAAGTGAAGAAGTCTTCACCTTCTAGCGGGAGCTTTCTTTCCCACCATCGGTCTTCCCTGTTCTGAGTTATCATTGTTAAACTGTGTGTGTCGATATGTTAGTGGAATTCTTAGTAAATTATCTGTAATAATTTGTAAGTTCCTTTTTGCAGAAAGTTTTAGTGTCCATTTCTATTGGTCCATTATATCCTTATTCATTCAAATGTCAAGGAATGATAAATGGTTAAGATAATTAGGTTCATAAAATTTAAGTAATTTTTTTTCGTATTTTCCAACATCTTAAAGGACTGTGATGTCTAGATTCATTGAATTATACTTGGAATATTTTGTGTACTTCTAATTGTAGTTTTTCAAACTGAGTTTTAGTAGTGGTTTTCAAATGGTATTGTTCAGAAGTGCCTCAGGAGCCTGGGGTTCAGGCAGACAAGGAATCTGAGGCTTTGGCCTCCTACTTGTACTTCACCCAGAAGTCTTTTTTAGAAAGATTTTTTTGAAAAGTTCTACTGTTGGGGAGAAAACAAAAGTTCAAACGTGGAATCTAGTTCATATATTTACCAGACATTGCCTACTGTATGCTAGACACTGGGTTTACAGAGATGGGGAAAACATTGATCAGGGGCTTTTTCTTAGCAGAAAATCAAACTGAGCAAGTTTTTTTTTTACTTTGGTTCAGAATTATGCATAATCTTTATAAACATGCTTATTGCATTTGTAACGTTAATTGAAAATGTATTTTAAAGGCCAGAATTCTGTCTGAGACCTTCTATATACATCTTTTATTGTGGGAAGCAGTATGTTTTTCATAATGCCATGCACGTAACTGTTAGTAACATCTTAACTTTCATTCTTTTGTTGAAAATACTTTTTTCTTTGCTTCTAGAATGAGAGGCTTAAAAAGCTTTGTACTGATCTAGAAGAGAAGCATGAAGCATCAGAACTTCAAATAAAGCAGCAATCTGCAAGTTATCGACATCAACTACAACAGAAAGAGGTAAAGATTATTACAGTTACTTCATATTCATTTCACTGTAATGTATTAGGAAAGTTTTTAAGAGTTATATTTAGATCCATAAAAATATTGAAAATGTGTTGAAGTTAATAATTCCCAACTCAGTTTGATATTACTAATTTAACAAGAACTCTGTAAGCTTTTCTATTAAGTTTATATCACATAAACTAACCTTTGTGGAGTTTAATTTCTACTATCCAAAAGAAGAAAAGTCTTTGTATAAAATATCTTCAGGCATCTGTTGCTTATAATTTCTGATTTTATGAAACCTAATTTTTTATCTGTACCTAAAATTGTTTTAAATCAGTGGATTGTTGCTAATGACATTTATCTTTTAAAAAATGATTTTAACTACAAGTGTTAGTATGTGTTATAGTGGCATTTACTTGATTTTCCAGGGAAAAACAGAATATTAAGTATTTTATAGTAGACTTACACTGTTCTATAAATTTTTTCCCCTTTAGTTTGATAGAAATGGTTATTTGGGAATTGGCTTATCTTTGCAGTGCTGGTAATAGATATTATATAATTTAACCGATGTTGTTATGAATTCTTAAAATGTAGGCTGTGTCCCTATGTTTCATTCTGTTGCTGAATTCTCTTTTGTTTAGTACGTAAGTGGAATTCAGTAAATACTTCTATTTAATTGAACTATTTCTTGTTTTATTATCCATTTGGGTGTTCTTCAGCTTGTTGATTAAATGTTCATTTCTACCATAACTTCATATTTGGGTTTTTAAAATTTAGATACATTGATTTCTACTTCCTTTAATGACATACTAAGATGAAAAATAAAAGTAAACCACATTAAAGATAAATGCAAACATTTAAAGAAGAGCTGAAGTTTCCAATCTGTTGGGAATTGATTTCATAAAATACAATAAAAATGAATTACTACAAAAATAAAATGAACCTAAAAAACCAAAGTTACAAGTTCAAATTAAACTTAAAAGCCCACTGTTTTTTTTAAGGTTCAAAAGATATAAAAGTACTCTGTCAAATTGCTTTAGAAGTCTTTAAGCCTTCCTCTTTCAATTTCTGTACTTATCTTGTCATGGACTGGTAGGAGACATTCCTGGCATCAGTCCACGGGCTGCACTTTCAGCAGCACTGACTTACAGATGTTACAATAGAGCAGTAGTTCCTACCCAGGGGGTTACAGCTGAATCGTAAGTGACACTTTAACAAAAACACACATGCTCATGTCCTCCAGGAGATTCTGATTTAATGTATTGGGAGGAGGCCCTTGTATTGGTATTTTTCCAAAACTCCCTAGATGATTCTGATGCTAAACACATCCTGGTTGAAAATACTACTCTGGAAAATGTTGGCATTTTCTGTTCTACTTAACTATTGATATTGGAGGGCAAATTAAGCATTCAAGTTTAGAAATGCCTCTTTGTTATTAGAGCTTGCACTTTTTAACTCTACAACTTATGTCTGTTGTATAATGAGAACTTTCTTTGTATTACAGCTACATTTGAAAAAATTGTGGATTTCAGTACTTTTTACTAGAATGAAAGATAATATATGAATATTCTTTAGATCTGCTATTTTCTGAATCTATTTACTGCCCTCATTGTGATGTTCATGTTCCCCAAAGATGCAATCTGCTTCATAACATTTATGGGAAAATGAATGAAACTTGTACACTACTATAAATCTCCATTAGAGAAGGGCCTCTGATATGAAAAACCTGTTTGTTGTGACATTTGACATAATTGTGTTTGGTTTTTGTTCGTCTAATTGCTTGACGTTACACATGCAGATGTACTGTCACTTGCTGGCTGTCTCCTCAGTATCAGATTTTCCTCAGTTGTGGCAGGATGTCTTCTGGATTAGTTTGAGCATTTTACAGAAAGCTTATTTCGTCTCTCTAGCTTACTCACTTTTATGCTTTAAGTAATCTGTCACTCAGAATGGGTATGGCATTATGGTAAGTCCTGTGTTCATAGCTTCTTTTGGATGGTGACTTGGTATTGCCAGTCTTCAGTCAAAACTTTGCTCAGGGTTTCAGAATTTTTATACTCTTGTCTCCCTGAGTGGAGTCAGATTTTCACTGGCCCCTCTTTACCAAGGCTAAAGCCAAGGCCTCTCAGTGCGTGATTTCCTTTCAGGACTTATGGGCTAATAAACATGGGCTCACTGTGTTATCCGAGAAGATTGAATGAATAAATCAAAGCATCCTTCCAGCTGTGTTGTGCCGGCCAATACAAAGTTACCTCTGACTCATGGTGCATTTTGGCCTAAATCCAGCCATAATCAGTTAGATAAGACTCTTCCAACAGACATTCTAAGGAAACTTTCCAATGCATAGACTGACACAGCTTTCGTTTTCTCATCATTTGAGGTTCGATAATCACATACAGAACCCTAAGAAATTGTCTATACTACCTGATACATAGAAGGTAGTAAACGCATGATTAACTGAGAAATTCATTGCTTTAGTTAACAGATAAGTGAAATTCTGATCTTCATACTATTTGAAACATTATCTGTGCCTTAACTATGGTAACCATGTTTGTTTTTTAAATAAAAATGTTATAGTCGGGATGTTATAGAAGACTTGGATTCAGTTGATAGAGTACTATCATTGGATAATCTTAAACAAATTATTATAACTTTTAACATGATGAATCTATAAAAAGATTGATATGGTTATTTTAAAACACCTTCTCTAAAATATGGAATATAAATATATAGGTAGAAATCAGCCATCTCAAAGCAAGACAGATTGCACTACAGGACCAGTTGCTGAAGCTGCAGTCAGCTGCTCAGTTAGTAAGTTCAGGAGCTGGCAGTGTACCCGCAACCACTGCATCATCTGCATTCGGCTATGGTATCAGCCATCATGCTTCAGCTTTCCACGACGATGACATGGACTTTGGTGACATAATTTCATCACAACAAGAAATAAACAGATTATCAAATGAAGTTTCAAGACTTGAGTCTGAAGTTGGCCATTGGAGGCATATTGCTCAGGTAGGTAAAATTTTCTCAAGTGTTTGAAAACTATGAGTGAGTGAAAATACCGGTGCTGTGTGTGGAGCTTTTGGTATCAGAAAGAACCCTGGACTAGGAAATGGAAAACCTGTATTCAAATTTTAGTTCTGTGAGTGACTTTCTAAGTGATTTTAGTCAGGTTATCATTCTCTCAGCCTCAGTTTCCCCTTCTGTATAACATTTGGAAGAAATTTTCAGAAAAATTTAAAGCAACAGAACAATGTTTTAAAATAAAAAGTTACAAGCCCAGGGCTTACAGAAAATGAAAATGGAGTTGCTGCTAGAGTTCCTGAGGCTTCTTTGGTGGAAACCAGGTCTCCAGGGCACCAAATTTGAAACTACTTGCTTAGCGCCGGCCCCGTGACGTAGCAGTTAAGTGCACATGCTCTGCTGCTGCTGGCCCCGGTTCGGATGCCGGGCGCGCACCCTATGTACCACTTGTCAGGCCATGCTGTGGCGGCGTCCCATATAAAGTGGAGGAAGATGGGCACGGATGTGAGCCCAGGGCCAGTCTTCCTCAGCAAAAAGAGGAGGATTGGCATGGATGTTAGCTCAGGGCCGATCTTCCTCACACACACAAAAAAAGAAACTACTTGCTCAGATGTTGTCTGAGGTTCCTGTTTTCATTAGTTATATGCAAAATGAAAATCTGATAACAGGTATTATAAAATATGTTAAACTATTTTGTGTTGTTTCTCGTGCGTTAGAAATTAAACCCTCGCTATTGAGGGCTGTAAACTTTCTTCCAGGGAACACTTTTTTGTCTTACATATCAGAGTTTATGTCTATGACAATGTCAATAGACATGAGACCCAAAATAACAGGAACATTGTTCATGTGGATTTAATTTAGAGAAAAATAAAATATATAAGTAAAGAGATTATTTGCTATCTTTTGTGATTGTAATCTAAGGTAAAGGAGAAATCCTCCCAATTAAAATGACCTCCTTGCTTCCCAAGTTTCTAGTTTCTGGGTTTTCCCAATACCCAAAATAAACCTTAGGGAGGATATCCTATCTCTAAAACGTAGTAGTTCTTTAACTTTGTATGCTTAAGAATAACCTAGGGTACTTGATAATATTCTAAATAGCCGGTCCTACCCTCAGAGATTAGGATTTTGTAGCCTATTTTAGGGTATTGGAAACTGCATTCAAACAAATAAATACCCCAGGTGATTCTGATAATCTGAGGAACACATTTCAAGAAACATTAGTTAGGGTAAGATTTCACAGAGAAGAAATGGATTTTCAGCATATCTTGAATGCCTACTGTATGACAGACCAGTACTGGGATATAAAGGTAAAAAAGACATAATTGGGACCTTTCAGGGGACTTAATTTTCTAGCAAGGCACAAGAAAAATTAATATTTGTATTATACTTTATGTTTCCACATATATTATCGGAGTATAGACTACATTATCCTTAATAACTGTGGGAGGTATTTATTACCTCTGTTTTGCAGATAAGCAAGTAAAAGTTTAAGTAACATAGTCACTGTCACAGTGATTAAGTTGTGATTCAGACACAAGTCTTTCAACTCCAAATCCTGTGTTCTTTCCATTATACTGTGTTCCGTTTTTCATCCATTTTGGTTCCTTAACACATTGTGTGGCCGGCCCTGGTGGTCTAGTGGTTAAGATTCGGCATTCTCACTGCCATGGCCCGGGTTTGTTTCCCACTCGGAGAACCACACCTCCTGTCTGTCAGTTGTCATGCTGTGGTGGCTGTGTGTTGCTGTGATGCTGAAAACTATGCCTCCAGTATTTCAAATACCAGCAGAGTCACCTATGGTGGACAGGTTTCAGTGGAGATTCCAGACTAGGACAGACTAGGAAAAAGGACCTGGCCACCCACTTCCGAAAAAATTGGCCATGAAAACCCTGTGAATAGCAGCAAAGCATTGTCTGAGATAGGCCGGAAGGTGGGAGGGTGGCGCAAAAAGACCGGGCAGGGTTCTGCGGTGCTGTCCGCAGAGTGGCTAGGAGTCGGAATCTACTCAGTGACACTAACAGCAAAACACACTGTGTAGTAAATGTTAATAAAGGTAAATGAACAATATAGAGCTTTGAATGAGGAGAAGAATCCAAAAGTTCTTTTATTCACTTGTCAAACCAAAGGTTATTCTGTATTGGGATGGAGATCTTCTGGATAAAATCATTTAAAAAAGATTTTTACTGGGTTATTATTAGCATTGGTATTGGGTAACTTTCCATTTTAGAAATTTCCGTTTAGGAAGCTGCTTGATTATCATCAAATTTATGTTTTGTTAAGCTAAATGAAATATTCTGCGGTGTTTTCCTTCTTATTTTATGAAAGTGTTGTCTCCCTAATCAGTTAACAAACTCTTGAATGGTATCTTTTATTTATTGTGTATTACTCACTATTAGACTAGGTTCTTTAAAAGGTACTTGGCATTCTTTAATCAGAATTTGTCTGGAAAATGCCCCTTTTCTGAAAAGGATCTTTTAATAGAGTTAGTTTGTGACTCTTTTATAAGAAAAGCAAAATAATTATTTTCTAATTCTGTTTTTTTGATCTAGACTTCTAAAGCACAAGGATCAAATAGCTTTGATCAAAATGAAATCTACAAACTGCAGAATATCATTAAGGTAAGGCAGATTGTTGGAACAATGGCTGTTATACATCTAAAAGTGCTTATTAAAAGTATAAGCCTAAATTAATAAAAGGCTCAGTTATAAAAGCCATTATATAGATTATGATATTTGTTTCTTTTTATTGTTTTGTATCTTCTTTGTTCTTTTTGTCAAGTAAGGTATATAAAAATATCTCTCCAAAATCATTTGGTTTTGAATATTTATTTATTAGGTAGTTTATATTTCATTAGTCTCTATTTTCTCTTGTAGCTCGTAAAACGGTCTTTATTAAAACAAAATCCCAAAGGTGCTGAAGTTTCAAGGTTTAGGGTTAAAGGTTAACAAAATAAAATGCTAATATTCATTGTAAATAATTATTTTCCCTTGCTGGTGGAATTTTGCTAGTTTGTGTCAATTATTTCCTTCAAGAAAAGTCTTAGTTACATATACTTATCATGGCGGTGAATTGTTTTTAGTGTGTAAATTATTGTCAGGTATAGAATTTTTAGTTTTTGGTTTTACTATTATTATACTACTAATGTGGGTGGGTTCCTGAGTTAGATCTGGTCTGAATCCTGGCTCTGCTATTTACCAGCTGTGCTACTTTGGGCAAGTTACTTAACCTTTACAAGCTTCCATTTTATCATCAGAAAAGTAGATATCATCATGATACCCTCTTGTAGGATAGTTTTGAGGTTTAAATGTAAAGCTCCTTGCCAAGTGCTGACGCAAAAGTAAGTGCATAGGATTAAAGAATAACTTCCCTTGTCTTCTCAGGAAATAGAAGCTAATTTTTTATAGGTTAGGATTCTTGGTTACAAGCAACAAAAACCATCTCTGGCTAAGTAAAGCAAAAAAGGATTGACTGGAAGGACCCAGGGTAGTCTGTCCACAGGATTGAAGGAAGAGTTTTGACCTCAGGAAGGACAGGAAGGGGAACAGCGTCAGGGATCTAGGCCGTGGGACGCAGTGGACGGACTCTTCACGGCACAGCTATCATAATGCTTCTGGTCCACCCCGTTTCTCTCTTTGAGGGACTCAGCTCAAGATCCAGGTTCCTAGGAGAGAGACTCATGGTCTCAACTGGAGTAGCAAGGCACCTTGGTTGACAGTTTAAGAGAGTCCCATCAAGACTGGTAGAGGAAAGGCTGAGTGAGAGGACAGAGGTAATAGAACAACAGGTACAGATTGGCCAGAAGGTTGACACTCGTATTGGGGAATATGTCATTAGCAGGAGAAGTTCATGGTCACAAATACTAAGGAACAAAGATATTTTTGCTTACTTTTTGTTTCAGTTTTTTCTTATTGGTGTTCCCTCATTAAAAGTAGAAAAACTGTTTTGAAGGCCCAAGAAAGGAAAGGGTGGCATCTTTCAGAATTGTCCAAATTTTGGGCCTGTGTTTAAATTCTTTTCAGCCTTAGCCTGTTCAGAGAATTATTCTAACAATAACGGAGTTTTGGACAACAATGAAATAGCTTAAGTAAATTCTTGATTATACACGTGGTTAACTTTGTTTTTATTTTTTAAGGAACTTAAGCAGAACCGAAGTCAGGAAATTGATGACCATCAACATGAAATGTCAGTATTGCAGAATGCACATCAACAGAAATTGACAGAAATAACTCGTCGGCATCGAGAAGAATTAACTGACTATGAAGAACGAATTGAAGAACTGGAAAATCTGTTACAACAAGGTTATTAATTTCATTAATTTAACAAATTAGGTGACATAATTAAATGACAAACCTAGCACTGTAAAACTAGGAGACTGATGTAAACTTGGACTAGCTTCTAAAGAATGAGTAAATGACTAGTTCTGCTCATCTGCCAGAAATTTGCACTGGCGCCACTGTTGTCAAGATTCTGCAAAAATGGAAAGGTCCTTTTGCCTTTGTGGTACATAGTTATAATACAGAGATTTTTTTGCATTGTTTGGTGTATTTTCACTTTCTTTCAAACTTGGATACCTAGGCTAAATACAAAAAAGTATTTGATTCAAATAATATCTTTCCTCAACTATTTATTTAAAAATGCTTTGTTTATTGTAATAATTAAGCTTTAAAATTTTTTTTTTAATTTTATGTTTGTATTTATTTGTTTAAAGCAGTTTTAGGTTTACAACAAAGTTGAGAAAATAGAGATTTCCCTTATACCTCTTACTCCCCCACATGCATAGCCTCCCCTATCAACATTACTCATCAGAATGGTACATTTTTTACCAAGGATGAACCTACAAGGATACATCATAATCACCCAAAGTCCATAGTTTACTTTAGGGTTCACTCTTGATGTTGTACATTTTATGGATTTGGAAAAATGTATAATGACACGTATCCATCATTATCATATCATACAGAGTATTTTCACTGTCCTAAAAATCCTCTGTGCTCTGCCTGTTCATCCACCCTTCATCCCCACAACCACTGATCTTTTTATGGTCTCCATGGTTTTGCCTTTTCCAGAATTGTCATATAGTTGGAATCATACAATATGTAGCCTTTTCAGATTGGCTTCTTTCACTTCGTAATATGCATTTAAGTTTCCTCCATGTTTTTTCATGGCTTGATAGCTCATTTCTTTTTTTCACTGAATAACATTCAATTGTCTGGATAAACCACAGTTTTTTTATTCATTCACCTTCTGAAGGACATCTTGGTTGCTTCCAGGTTTTGGCAATTATAAGTAAAGCTGCTATAAACATCCTTGTTCAGGTTTTTGTGTGGCTGTGAGTTTTCAACTCCTTTGGGTAAATACCAAGGAGTATGATTGCTGGATCATATGATAAGAGTATATTTAGTTTTGTAAGAAATCACTAAACTGTCTTCCAAGTGGCTGTACCATTTTGTATTCCCACCAGCAGTGAATGAGAATTCCCGTTGCTCCACATCCTCACCAGCATTTGGTGGTGTCAGTGTTCTGGATTTTGGCTGTTCTAATAAGGAGTGTAGTGTTACCTCATTGTTGTAACTTTTCTTTTTTTTTTTTTTAATTGATGTTTTAATGGTTTCTAACATTGTGAAATTTTTGGGTTGTACATTTTTGTTTGTCCATCACCATATATATGACTCCCTTCACCCCTTGTGCCCACGCCCCACCCCCACTGCCCCTGGTAACCACAGTCCAGTTTTCTCTGTCCATGTGTTGGTTTATATTCCACATATGAGTGAGATCATACAGTGTAACTTTTCTTTTTAAGCCTTCCAAGTTCTGAAGTCTAGTAAATCTCTTAGTTGTATATGGCAAGCTGTTTATCTCTTGGTACTTGACATTTGATGTCCTTGATTTTATGTTTATGTTCTAGGTGGCTCAGGAATTGCAGTAACTGATCACTCTAAAGTCCATGAAATGCAAAAAACTATTCAGGTTCTACAAACTGAAAAAGTAGAGTCTACAAAAAAAATTGAAGAACTTGTGAATAAAATAGAAGACATAAGTAAAAAATTGTCTTCTGCAGAAAATGACAGAGATATTTTGAGGAAGGAACAAGAACGAATAAACGTGGAAAACAGACAAATAATGGAAGAATGTGAAAGCTTGAAACTGGAATGTAGTAAATTGCAGCCTTATGCTATGAAGCAAAGTGATACTATGACAGAAAAGAAAAGAATTCTTCCACAGAGTGCATCAGTGGAAGAAGAAGTGTTCAGACTGCAACAAGCACTGTCTGGTATAAAATGTTTGGAACTTATTTCTGATTGATGTTTCATTGCATACTAGTTGTTTTTAGAGACAAACACTTGAATAACTGAGTACTTTATGGAAATGGAGTATTCATGGAAATGACTGTGAAATTTGAGTAGAATTGTTCAGTTTGGATTCAGTGCTATAATTAATAGATAATAAGATTTTTCTACTAAAAAGGGTTAAGAATTGGCTAGGTGTCGTTCAGCTTCCCTTCCTCATCCTTTAAGTATTTGCATGAAACTCATCGATTTAGGAGGCCATGTGGATTTCTGAGAAATGTTTATGTAGACATTCATTGGGAGGAGGTATGGGTCTATTTCTGTTAAACTACACAGAACCAAATACTTCAGTCACTCATTAGGGCCCAGACCCTCCAGTTAGGGAATTCAGCCTACTGTCTTCAAAATTCTCTGTTCCCTTTCGAAATGATCTCCTGTATGTAAGCAGACCTGAGAATGGTAAGAGCCATAGGTCCTCCACTATTTTCCATGCTCAAGATGATATTTAGTTATCATACCAGTGTTCTGTGTTACAAAAAATAAGTGTTAAGTAAAATAGGCCAAACACCAGTATTCATTCGTGTCAGGAAAACATAGTGGGAGCTCTTCAGCTGAAAAGATGCATTTTGTTTTGCACTTTGTCCTCTTCTCACAATATAAACTCTGACTTTATGAACTCATTCATTTCTGCTCTGGAAGTTTCTAGCCCTTGTGTGCTGGTCACTCCCCCACATCTGTATTCCTCACCTGGTTGTTTATCATGAGCTCCTGACCTGGATGGCCAATTCTATAAATTCAAATTAAAGTTAGGGTCAAAGTCCAGTCACCATGGCCTCCTCCCACTCTTCTTTTTCGTACTTGGTGGTTGGTAGCATTTACCAGTCTCTGAAAACAGAAAATTTGAAGTCATCACCTAGCATGTCCTGTAGGTTCCACATCCTTGGCTTCTCCAGTTCAGTGATATTTCAAGATTGTATCCCAGAGGAGCTCTAGGTGTTTCTCACAGGTGCCTCAGTTCTGGAAGCTGCCATGAAGGCAAAAGGAAAGCTGTGCACTGGGTTCTGGACTTCTTTCTCATTGGACTTCTTCAATCAAAGTAGCCCTGCTCTTTCCAAAATAAATTTATTTAACCTATTGGGTGATCTATATGAGTTTATTTGCTTTAAAAACAAACCTGCTGCCTTAGTCCTTCCCCTTTTTTCCATCTTCACTGCCACTGAATAACTTCAGCCAATCATGATTTCTTTTTGCCTGGTTAACTATAGCAGTCTCCTAATGGAGCAGAATAGTACAGTGGTTAAGAACATGACTGGGTTAGAATCCAGCTTCATCACTAACTGGCTGACCTTGGGCAATTTAATTAACATCTCTATGCTTTGGTTTTTTCATCTATATGGTTGGGATAATAATACTGTCTTCTTCATCGTTGTAGTAATGAGGATTTTATGAGTTACTAGCTGCAGAGTTCTCTTTAGAACAGTGTCTAGCCCACGGTAAGCATTACAAAAATGTTAACTGTTACTGTTCTCTGGTCTCCATGATTCCTTCTTCAATCAATTTTTTTCTTTCTGCAGCCAGAATGGTTTTTCAGAAGTACTTTTTAGCTCCCTGTGAACTTCAGCATAAAGTCTAAACTTCTCAGTTGGACATATAATGTCTTTCATCATCTGGTCCCTGCCTGCCTCTTCAGTTTCAACTCTTCCCATTCTCCTAACAGTCTAAGCTTTAGCCATATTGAACTTGCTGTGTAGCTCCTTAGGGCAGCAATGTTGTCTCAGCTCTGTCACCTTTGCATTTGCTGCTTTCTCTGTGTGGAGTGTCTCTGTTTCTTTCTGCTAACTTAGTCTATTCAGTGCAGGTGTTGCATCCACTGGGAGTTACCTAGTGCTGCTGTTTCCCTGGCCCCACTGGCCCCCCTGTCCCCCCTACCCCCAAGTCTGGATTAGGCGTTTGCCCTTATGGCTCTAGTCGCAACTTGTGCTCCCTGTGTCACACTGTACTCCCTATGTCATACTGTGCTTAATCGTGTGTTTACTCGTTTGTCTTCTCTAATTTGTAAGCTCCTTGAGAGCAATCATGGACTGAATTTTTCCGTCTTAATTGTCTAGCAACTGACCTCATAGTAAATGCTCAGTATTACCTAAATGAACAGCGAATGAATTGCTTCAGCTGAACTCATGGTATTCTGTCTTTGTGTTTTTCTAGAACCACTTGTATTTATGAATCTATCCATAATACCAGATCGAATGGTCTTTTTATCAGTAGTCATGTCTGAGTCACTTTAGATAATTGAGAGGTTATTGTATTTTTGTGGCATAAATATACATTCTTGTTTTCAAGTTTTTTCCCCAATCTCAGACCTTTTACTGTTTCCTGCTACACAAACTAATCGACTCATTTTGAAACATAGTTTTTAATGTTTTTATCAAGGCAATAACTTATGACTCATCCAGAATACAATTATAATTCTTTCTTACACTATTCCATAGTATTGGATTTTAACATAGTTACTTTCTTTTTTTTTTTGTGAGGAAGATCAGCCCTGAGCTAACATCCATGCTAATCCTCCTCTTTTTGCTGAGGAAGACCGACTCTGAGCTAACATCTATTGCAATCCTCCTCCTTTTTTTTTTCCCCCCCAAAGCCCCAGTAGATAGTTGTATGTCATAGTTGCACGTCCTTCTAGTTGCTGTATGTGGGACGTGGCCTCAGCATGGCCGGACAAGCGATGCATCGGTGCGTGCCTGGGATCCGAACCTGGGCTGCCAGTAGTGGAGCGCGCGCACTTAACTGCTAAGCCATGGGGCCAGCCCTAACATAGTTTCTAACTGGCATTTATATTATGATTTCTTTGGTATAGTGAAAACAGAAATACAAAAATAACAAAAATACATTTCACTAAGAACTTCTAGGACTTGCTAATTGTGCTTAAGTACACTTTATTTTAATTGGGTTTCATTTCTGAGTTTAATATAGGGGTAATTACTGTTATTTTAAAGAATTTTAATGTCATATTCATTGTTGTTTTTACAGATGCTGAAAATGAAATAGTGAGACTGAGTAATTTAAACCAGGTAAACTCATTTTAAGAGAGCAAGTTTTTGGCATTGGTTTACCAAGAAAATGTATTTTGATTATTATAGTTGCTTATTTTGTGTTTTTTACAAATTTATGTGAACTTATCCTAGGAATTTTCATCTTAGTAATTTTATGTTTGCTGATTAGTAATAGAAACTTTTTGCATCATAAATTGACATAATTTAAAAAGTAACATAATTTAAAAATGTAGGTATATCTCTTTGAAAATTAGTTTGACAAATGTATGTAGAGACAGTGGAAGCATATCTTGTACCAAAGTGAGGAATGCATTTTGATTTCCCTTAAGGAATTCAGGGAGTTGTTTCTATTTCTAATGACTACAGGTTATTTTGTGAATGTATTTATATGTTTTTTCAAATATAATAAACTCTCTATAAGAATGTCTGTAAAATGAGTGACTGGCTTTAGATGGTCCAGTGTTGCATGCTTATAATTTTTATATATCACTAAAGAAATGCTGAGTAGAAATGCACGATCGTATAGCTTGCCTGCTTTTTTGTAAACTTGAAATTTCTTGTTATCTGAAAACACACTCTTAACATTTTTGTAGGATAACAGTCTCGCTGAAGACAATCTGAAACTTAAAAGGCAAGTCCAAGTATTAGAAAAAGATAATTCGTTGTTGAGTCAAGAAAAGGTGGGTGCCATAAAAATGGGGGCAAAATTAACATGGTGTATATATTATAGATCACAGCTAAGGGCCAGTTTATATCAAAATGGAGTGTTTAGTTCTTGGGAGTCCTGAGGATAAAGCTTATCTCATTGATGCTTGTTAGGCCAGGTTGGAGTACTTAGGCAAGGTTCAGAGTATGAGAGGCTGACCAGAGCTTATGTTCAGAGATAAATGAGTAGGCCCAGATACAAGCCGAAAAGATAGGTAAAGGCTGTTATGGTTTCAGATGAAGTCCTGTCAGTAGCAACGTACACAGGTGGGTTGTGAGTTTGGAGTGGCATCCTATATTAACTGTACATACTGCTTATATGCCCCAGAATGTGTCTAGTGTGGCGGACAGGAATTTCTTAGTGGTGAGGGGTAAAGAGGGACATTCCTGGTGGGAGAAATAGGGTCTTTTTTGTGTGTGTTGGTAGCAAGGATGGAATAAGATTCTGTACTGTGATGTTGGATATGGGGAGAGGTATTTTTATGTTTGTACCACTTGGGGGGTAATTCCTTGGCTAAGGCAGGTGCTTAAGTATAGGATCGTTGTGAGCTGGTATTATTAAGTTACAGACCAGTATCTCAACTCAATTTAAAATCTTATTTTTTTTTTTTATAGTGTTTTCCTTTCACTCTTGATTTTACTCTTTTTTTTTTTAATTTTTTGTTTATTGCGGTAACATTGGTTTATAACATTGTAAAAATTTCAGGTGTACATCATTATACTTCTATTTCTGCATAGATTACATCATGTTCACCACCAAAATACTAATTACAACCCACCACCACACACATGTACCGAATTATCCCTTTCACCCTCCTCCCTCCCCCCTTCCCCTCTGGTATTTATCCAAAGAACTTGAAAACACCAATTTGTAAAGGTACATGCACCCCTGTGTTCATTGCAGCGTTATTCAAAATAGCCAAGACTTGAAAGTAAAATCTTATGTTTTTAAAAGTAACATATTTACTGATGTATATATTCAGTAGTAATACATACTGAAAAATTTCAGACAGTACAAATAGAGTATCCTTCACACCTCTGTTGGTTGGCCTCTTTCCCAGAGGCAGTCTTTCTTACCAATTTCTTATATATCCTTCCAGACTATATTTATGTATATATAATTATTATATAAGTAGCTTCTTAAAAAGTACAAATATTAGCATAGTATACATACTGTTCGTACAAACCTTTGTATTAAATTTTCAGCATCCTTCCCATTAGTATGTGGGCAATATTTCTTAAAGGGGTGCTATTGGCATTTAGGTGGGAAAATTCTTAGTTGTGTGCACTGTCCTGTGCCTTTGTAGGGTCCTTGCCCCTGCTCTTTCTACCCACTAAAAGCCAGTCGTGTTTCCCAGTCATTTTTGTTTTTGTTTTGTTTTTTTGTGTGTGTGAGGAAGATCATCCCTGAGCTAATATCTATGCCAATCCTCCTTTTTTTTTTGCTGAGGAAGACCAGCCCTGAGCTAACATCTGTTGCCAATCCTCCTCCCTTTTTTCCCCTTTTTCTCCCCAAAGCCCCAGTAGATAGTTATGTCATAGTTGCACATCCGTCTAGTAGCTGTACGCGGGACGTGGCCTCAGCATGGCCCAACAAGCAGTGCATTGGTGTGCGTCCGGGATCCGAACCCGGGCCACCAGCAGCAGAGCGCACGCACCCAACCACCAAGTCATGGGGCCGGCCCCTTTGTTTTTGTTTTTTTTTGTGAGGAAGATCAGCCCTGAGCTAACATCCATGCCAATCCTCCTCTTTTTTTTTTTTTTGTGAGGAAGATCAGCCCTGAGCTAACATCCATGCCAATCCTCCTCTTTTTTTTTTTTTTGCTGAGGAAGACTGGCCCTGGGCTAACGTCTGTGCCCATCTTCCTCTACTTTTTTTTATATGGGGGGGGCGCCACAGTGTGGCCTGACAAGCGGTGCATCGGTGCGCACCCAGGATCTGAACCCCGGGCCGCCAGCAGTGGAGTGCGCGCACTTAACCGCTATGCCACAGGGCCGGCACATCCCAGTCATTTTTGTATTACTATATTACATATATTTTCTCTGTTCTTGTCTGCTCCCAGTGTATTCTTCTCCTTCACTTATTCCTTTCTCTAACTGGCCTAGGTATACTTTGTAGTTTGTAGATCTCTGCACATACCTGATGGGACTTGTAACCTTCTCCTGATATATTTGGGTTCTGTAGCTCTTCCCAGTAGCTGTTTCTCCTTTCTTCTGATGTTAAAGTAATCCATCGTTAACTCTTCCTTGAATTGTGTCTGCTATGGATCTGCTCACTGCTTAAGAATGCCAGAAGTACCTGTGAGGTTGTATATGTTCTTAAGATCCTGAGAAAAGATTTTTGGTTCTCCTAATTGAACAGATAACTCCAGAAACACGTAAGAGAGTGCTATTTCCATCTTCCAGTTCTGTGCAGAGTCAACTTTTGAATTGGAAGAAGAATGAGAATTGTGAGGCAAATGTTCTAATATAGTTTTCATTGGTCTCTTTTGTAAGGTATATATTAGACTCTTTATTTGTAGAAATTTGATATTCTTATTTACTCTAAAGTAGATTCCGTAGAAGTTTGATTTTTAAAAATCTCTATCAATGAAAGAAGGCTTTACAGCGATAGGGAGTTTATCACGAACATCATAATCAGAGGCTGAAATAGTGTTGAAGCATAGAGAACTGACCCACTTCTGGGAGTTTGGATGAAAAGCATTCCAATAGACCAGAACGTAAAATATATTTAAAAAACCATATATAGATAGATCTTTAGGAATGTTAGGTTTGAGAAAGAAGAACCTTGTCTAGGCTCAGGTTAGAAGATAAAGAAAGGAAGGAGGGTACTTTTTTGAGTCAAGAAAAGGTTTCATGTTCTGACAGAAGCCAGTGATAAGAGTAATTCCTTTAATGAGGGAAAAGAAGCCTTTTATTTTTTAATTAGAGAGGACAAACTTTAGAGTAGAATGAGTGTTAATTTTTTACCTTTTTGTCTGTGGCTGTTGGTGACTGGATGTTAGGGAATAGAAGTGAAGAGAGTGGAAGACTTGGGGCATTTTGAAAAGTATAAGTACGGTGGGAGGGAAGGAGGAGACGGAAGGGAAGCAGCAGTGGGAGTGGGATTGGGAAGGCTCTCAACTGGGAAAGTTTACGTATAAAGAAGTTGGAGCTAGCAGGTGAACTTACCGTCGTTCCATCTTGTCTAGGGTTATAGAAATGTTTTGCTTGAAGTTGCAAATAAAATTGCACGTGAATGAAGGCTGTGGTTTATTGAATTTTATGTGTCATGGCTGAGGTGTTATTCAGTAGTGTTTCCAACACAGAGCATCTAAAAATAGAGTCCCAATTTTTGTTTATATATATGTTTTTCATCTTTTGGTGTCTCTTCTTCCAGTTGACAATATGTGGTGTTTTTTTCCCTTAATCTTTTAAGGAAGAACTTCAGATATCACTTGTAAAATTGAACAATGAATATGAAGTAATTAAAAGTACAGCTACAAGAAACATGGATTTGGATTCAGAGTTACATGATTTAAGACTTAATTTGGAGGCAAAGGAACGAGAACTCAATCAGAGTATTACTGAAAAGGAAATACTGATAGCTGAGTTAGAAGAACTGGACAAACAGAACCAAGAAGCTACAGAGGTAACACTACATTAAAGACAGCTTGGCAGTGCATTCTACTCAGTAGACTGAACACTGGATTAACAAGCAAAAGTGATTGGTGTGATTTAATTAATATTTTAGTTTGTTGATGCTCTAGTCATAGAAGTTGACAAACTTTTCCTGTAAAGTGTTAGATGGTAAATATTTTTTGCTTTGCAGGCCGTGTAGTCTCAGTTGCAACTGCTCAACTCTGCTGTTTTGATAAGTAAACACATGATATGGCTCTGTTCTAATAAAACTTTATTTACAAAAACATGGCAGGCCGGATTTAGCCCATCGGCTGTAGTTTGTGGACTCCTGCTCCAGTGTTTGAGTTGAAAATAAACAACGTATCATTTACCTTCTTTGGTTTAAGATTCTAATCTCTAAAATGATAAAATAGATTTGCTGTAAGGTATTAGTAAATAATTTTGTTGGGATGAAAATTTTGTTTTAAGAAGGATTAGAAATATCTGAAGATTATTCTTCTATTATGTATAACATTTTATAAAATTTTCTTTAGGTACTAAAATGAGAGAATGTCTTGAAGTTACCATGCAAATTAATTTTTCTTTCAGCACATGATTTTGATAAAAGATCAGCTATCAAAACAACAAACTGAGGGAGATAGCGTCATCAGTAAACTGAAAAAAGATCTAAATGATGAAATAAAGAAATTTCATCAACTGGAAGATGATAAGATGAACATTACTAAAGAGTTCAATGTGCAGAAAGAAAAGTTAATTCAAAGTGAACTGGTCCTAAATGATTTGCGTTTAACTAACCAGAAGCTTGAGGATAAAGTAGAAGATTTAGTAGATCAGTTAAATAAATCCCAAGAAAATAATTTAAACATCCAGAAGGAGAACTTTGAACTTAAGGAACATATTAAACAAAAGGTGGAAGAGCTTTCTAGAGTTAGGGATGAGTTAACTCAGTCACATAATCAAGACTCTAAGAGTAATTTTAAGGATGACTTACTTAAAGAAAAGGAAGCTGAAGTGAGAAACTTAAAGCAAAATCTTTCAGAAATAGAGCAGCTCAATGAAAATTTTAAAAAAGTTGCTTTTGATCTCAAAATGGAAAACGAAAAGTTGATTTTAGCTTGTGAAGATGTAAGACATCAGTTGGAAGAATCTATTGCTGGGAACAATCAGATTTCTCTGCAAAAAAACACTATTGTGGAGGCTCTAAAAATGGAAAAAGGACAGTTAGAAGCAGAATTGTGTCGGGCTGAAAAGAGGCTGTTGGAAGAAGCAAACAAGTATGAGCAAACCATTGAAGAACTGTCAAATGCACGCAATTTGAGTACCTCTGCTTTACAGCTGGAACATGAGCATTTAATTAAACTCAGTCAAGAGAAAGACTTTGAAATAGCAGAACTCAAAAAGAGTATTGAGCAGATGGATACTGATCATAAAGAAACTAAGAAAATTTTGTCCTCTAGTTTAGAAGAGCGGAAGCAATTGATACAACTTACAAATGAGAAAGAAATTTTTATTGAAAAACTTAAAGAAAGAAGTTCAGAGCTTCAGGAGGAATTAGATAAATATACTCAGGCCTTAAGAAAAAATGAAATTTTAAAACAAGCCATAGAGGAAAAAGACAGAAGTCTTGGATCCATGAAAGAAGAAAACAATCATCTCAAAGAAGAACTGGAACGACTCAGAGAACAGCAGAGTCGAGCTGCACCTATGACTGAGCCTAAAACCCTTGATAGTATTATAGAGCTAGAGTCCGAGGTGTTGCAACTGAATACAATAAAGGACCATCTTGAAGAGGAGATAAAACAACATCAAAGGATAATTGAAGACCAAAACCAGAGTAAGATGCAGCTGCTTCAGTCTTTGCAGGAGCAGAAGAAGGAGATGGATGAAGTTAAATACCAGCATGAACAAATGAATGTCACACACACCCAACGCTTGGTAGAGAAAGATGAGGAAATTAAAAATTTGCAAAGAACAATTGAACAAATCAAAACCCAGTTACATGAAGAAAGACAGGACGTTCCAACCGAGAATACTGATATTTTCCAAGAAACAAAAGTTCAGAGCCTTAATATAGAAAACGGAAGCGAAAAGCATGATTTATCGAAAGCTGAAACTGAAAAATTAGTAAAAGGAATAAAAGAACGAGAATTAGAGATTAAACTTCTAAATGAAAAGAATATATCTTTAACTAAACAGATTGATCAGCTGTCCAAAGATGAAGTTGGTAAACTAACTCAGATTATCCAGCAGAAAGATCTGGAGATACAAGCTCTTCACGCTAGAATTTCTTCAGCTTCCTACACCCAGGATGTTGTTTACCTTCAACAGCAGCTGCAGGCCTATGCTATGGAAAGAGAACAAATGTTAGCTGTTTTGAGTGAGAAAACTAGGGAAAACAGCCATCTAAAAACAGAATATCACAAAATGATAGATATAGTTGCTGCCAAAGAAGCCGCTCTCATTAAGCTACAGGATGAAAATAAAAAATTGTCCTCTACATTTGAAAGTAGTGGCCAAGACATGTTCAGAGAAACCATTCAGAATTTATCACGTATCATTCGAGAAAAAGATATTGAAATAGATGCGTTAAGTCAGAAATGTCAGACCTTATTGACAGTTTTACAAACATCCAGCACTGGTAATGAGGTTGGAGGTGTTAACAGTAATCAGTTTGAGGAGCTGCTGCAGGAACGCGATAAATTAAAGCAACAAGTGAAGAAAATGGAGGAGTGGAAACAGCAGGTGATGACCACAGTGCAAAATATGCAGCACGAGTCAGCCCAGCTTCAGGAAGAACTTCATCAGCTTCAGGCACAAGTTTTGGTTGACAGTGATAACAATTCTAAATTACAAGTGGACTATACTGGCCTGATCCAAAGTTATGAGCAGAATGAAACCAAACTCAAAAATTTTGGGCAGGAATTAGCACAAGTTCAGCACAGCATAGGGCAGCTTTGCAATACCAAAGATCTTCTTTTAGGAAAACTTGATATTATTTCACCTCAGCTCTCTTCTGAATCATCGCTTACTTCCCAGTCAGCAGAGACTCTTAGAACAATCAAGCGTGACATATCGAGTGAGTCTTCTAAACAAGAGATAGAAGAGCTAAGAAAATCACTGCAGGAGAAAGATGAAACCATTAGAACTCTTCAGGAAAATAATCACAGATTGTCTGATTCGATTGCTGCCACCTCAGAGCTAGGAAGAAAAGAACATGAACAAACTGATTCAGAAATTAAGCAGCTAAAGGAGAAACAAGATATTTTACAAAAGTCACTTAAGGAAAAAGACCTCTTAATCAAAGCCAAAAGTGATCAGTTACTTTCTTTAAATGAAAATTTCACTAACAAGGTGAATGAAAATGAACTTTTGAGGCAGGCGGTCACAAACCTGAAGGAGAGAACATTAATTTTAGAAATGGAAATTTGTAAACTAAAAGGAGAAAATGAAAAAATAGTAGAAACATCCAGGGAAAAGGAAACAAATTATCAAGCATTACAGGAGACTAATATGAAGTTTTCTATGATGCTTCGAGAAAAAGAGTTTGAATGCCATTCAATGAAGGAGAAAGCTCTTGCTTTTGAGCAACTACTAAAAGAAAAAGAGCAGGTAAGTTCTGGATGGAGTTTTATAGAGGGAAGTTGGGGTGGAGGAGGTTTTTTAGTGTGTTGCTTTATTGATGTTATCTTTGAAGAAGCATATGAATTTGTTTGTTTAAAAATATTTATTTCAAGGTATTGTGATTCATTCTAAATAAATTTTCCTCAGAGGCATCTGGAAGTTTCTCCCCCAAATTACTAGATATTTCCAAATATTTTTGTTACCAGGTTAATTTTTTACAGCTTCTTAAGTAGAAAAAAAGTTTAGTAACCATATTTTTCTTTAGAAAATATAAATGTGTTACGAGAGAGTTTTGAAGTTACTGCAGTTTAACCAAATTTTAGGCATAGTTCAGTAGCTGGTAGTAATGGTTAACATTTTAGAGGTTCTTATATGTAGAGGGAAGCTCTGTGAAATATATACTACATCTTTGATGATGATCCGCAGTAAGAAATAGATTTTACATTGTGACACATTAAGCACTTGTGTGCTTGTATGTCTGTGTGTGTGTGTGTGTGAAACTGAAACAAAAAGTTCAGGAATCAGAAATTACTGTTTCTACATGTGATACTCTATTAAAAAAGTGCTGGATGACCCATTCAGTTGATTTTTATGAATCAGTTAGTCACAGCCTGGTGTTTGAAAAGTGTTAGCCACGAGTAGTGCTTTTCACAGGGTAGGCTCAGTAAATATTCTAACCCCAGTTCTGTCACTGGTGTGACTTTCGGTGTGTTTTGACCTTATTGGTTTGTTTATTCAACCATAAAATGGAGGGTTGTAGCAGTAAGTGTCAGTAGTTTTTGATATATTGAAATTTTTACATGCAGTTGATTTTAGATTTTAGTAAGAATATATTGAAGACCTAGTACATCATACGATGATAGATGCTGTGTAGGACTTTTTTCTTTGTGCCTTTTTACTCTGATTTGTATACTTTTAGCAGTATAAATTTGGAAAAGAAATGAGGCAGAATAATGGAATATTCAACAAGTGCTTCTTGAGCATTTACGTGCTGCCAGGCACAAGGTACAAGATGACTTAACTTCTTTTGCCAATTAAGTTCTCTCTTAGAGTCTTAGATTAAAGTTTGGGAATGGTTGATGTAGTTTTCATTCGATAGGAAAAGTCTTATCTCCTTTTCCCCTTCTTTGCCATCTGATTAAGTACGTACACTGAGAGTGTTGAGATGTTCTCCTCCTTTCAGATATAGCTTCTAAGCTTCTTCTTTACCAGTCTATAATTGGTATTAGGACTCTTAGGGGAAGAAGCTTTCTGTTGCGCACTAACCAGAATTGGCTGTAGTGTCTTTGGACTGTAAGAGTATAATAGAGGAATGTAGAACAATCAAGTATTCTTTTTCATATATTTTTTCCTTTTGTAGTTTTAGTGTCTTGTACAATTTATTCTATTTCTTTGACATGTATGGATCTAAAGTAGGCAGATTTAATTAAGGCTCATCTACCTTTCAGGAGGCTTCCTTAAGTTGTCATACTTCAGTATTGTATTATTTGAGAGTAATTAGTGTAAACTAATTAATTTCTTCCAATACTCCATATAACTGAAGGGTACCTTTATTATATTTTGAATATAATAAATAACATCTCTTTTTTTAGGAAGAAAGAGATGTTCTCAACAGGAGATCTTTAACTCTGTTTAATCTTCAAGCATTTGTTCTTTTTCTGTAATATGAAAACATTTTTAACTGAAAAACTGTTTGGAAAATACTGGCCTCACTATTCAGGAGAGGGTGTTGAGATGAAAGGAACAGGTGGTTTTATGTCTTGGTTGTGATGATTTGTCCTAGGGGACACAGTGTATATTCTTAAAGAAATGGAATGTTTACATGAAAATTTAGAATAATACTGAACCATAGATTCACGTGGTATACATATTTAAAACAGAAAAGAATTGGCTGTAAATAGCCGGACACATTTTTGTGCTTTTTAGAATTCTGGCTATCATCTTAAATTTATGGCCCTACTTTTGCAATGAAGAGTTATCTTTGTTCTGCTGTCGTTAATATATTGTACTTGTGTGGAATACGTTCAGGAATAAGTTTTCACAGCTGTCTAGCAAGATATCATTCCGGAGTTGCTTTCGTTAAATTGTTGCCAAAATGTTCTTTTAAAATAGGCTATGCATATGAATTGACTTCCCTTTCTCTCCTCTGCCAGCAGCTTGATCTAATAACAATTGCGTATGCTGATGAATGGGCGCACACACACACACACACACACTCACTCACTCACACTTTTCTGGGTGATTTTGGGGTTTGTGAACACTGTTGTGTAGGGTAAATTTGAAGAGATTGTGTCTTTTCAGTTCTTTTAAAAACATTTCTAATAAGCTTTTTCTTTAAGAATAGTTTTAGATTATTAGAAAAGTTACAAAGATAATAGAGAGTTCCCATATACCCACACCCAGTTTCCTTTATTTTTAACATCTTACTTTACTATGGTACATTTGTAACAACTAATGAACCAATATTGATACATTGCTATTAACTAAAGTTCATACTTTATTTGAATTTCCTTAATTTTTTTTGCCAAATATCTTTTTCCTATTCCAAGATGCCATCTAGGATACCTCATTATGTTTAGTCATCATGTGTCCTTTGGCTCCTTTAGACTTTGACAGTTTCTCAGACTTTCCTTGTGTTTTTGATGACTTTGACATGGTTGACTATATTTTTAAATTAATTATGTAATGAAGAAATGTCTTTTTTAAATGTATTTTTCTTTAAAGCTAAAGTTATTTTTTTCCAAAAGGGCAAGACTGGGGAGTTAAATCAACTTTTAAATGCAGTTAAGTCAATGCAGGAGAAGACAGTTATGTTCCAACAGGAGAGAGACCAAGTTATGTTGGCCCTAAAACAGAAACAAATGGAAAACACTGCTGTACAGAATGAGGTATACTTTCACTTTAAAGAAACAGTGATTCAAACACTGAGTTTAATATCTATTAAGTAAGAAAACTGTACAGATTATCAGTTAAAATGAATTTCTCTCTTAGGTGATTTTTTTCTTAGTCTTCCTCTGATGTGCTATAGTAGAATTTTGATCTCCCAGAGTGTGTTTTATTTGTTTTCAAATGTGAAAGCTATGATCTAATCATTATGTTGTATACCCGAAACTAAATTATACCTCAGTTTTTTTAAAAAAAGAATGAGGGGCCAGCCCAGTGGCATAGTGGTTAAGTTCACGCGCTCCACTTCGGTGGCCCGGGGTTTGCGGGTTTGGATCCCTGGTGCGGACCTACACACCTCTCATCAAGCCATGCTGTGGCGGCATCCCACGTAGAAAATGGAGGAAGATTAGCACAGATGTTAGCTCAGGGCCAATCTTCCTCAAGCAAGAGGAGGAGGATTGGCAACAGATGTTAGCTCAGGGCCAATCCTTCTCACCAAAAAAATAAAAGAAAAGAAAAAAAGAAAAGTGAAAACCATGGCACGTCTTGGATATAAGAAAAATTTCCCACCCATGAAGTATGAAAAAAATGAGATTTACTGAAAAAGTGATGTCACAAAAAGCCTAGTTCTTTGTATAATTCCATTTTCCATTAAAGGCACAGGAATGAGATCTTACAAAGTAAACCTTCCAAATGAACATTCAAGATGATTTCAGGAGCCTTTTTTCCTAGAATAAATACATCTTGCAGTATGAGAAATTAGTATACAATTAATACACTTCAATAATGGGAAAAAGATTTGATAACAAAGTGACCTGTAGCGGGGGAAAAGGGAGCATTTTATAGAAGAAAAATAAAGAAATGTCCTCTGCCTAGGTTCAACATTTACGTGAGAAAGAATCACGGTTAAACCAGGAGCTAGAAAGATTGCGTAACCATCTCTTAGAGTCAGAAGATTCTTATACACGGGAAGCTTTGGCTGCAGAAGATAGAGAGGCTAAACTAAGAAAAAAAGTCACACTATTGGAGGAAAAGCTAGTTTCATCCTCTAATGCAATGGAAAATGCAAGGTAACTTTTTCATTTTTTTAGCCTCAATATTAACTGAATGCTTCTTGGGTGTCAGACTCAGGCATTTTTCATGTTACCTCATTTTATTTTCACAAAATCCATTTTCTCCATTTTACAGACTAAGAAGCTGAGGGTAAAGAGGTTTAGTAACCTTCTCAAGGTCAGGCACACAGTGCGTGTGTGGGTTTCACACTTGGGTCTGTAACTCGTAACCAGATCTGGTATTCAAACCGAGGTTCTTCTGCATCTTCACCATTACCCTAGATCATTGCTTCTCATCATTTTAGGAGTTTAGACTTAAATTCTGACTGGTTTAATTAGCTTTGTCAGGCTCCCGAAGAACTAATTTAGTTTAATTTATGTGGTTTTATTTATTTTTTTATTTTTTATTTTTTTGGTGAGGAAGATCAGCCCTGTGCTAACATCTGCCAATCCTCCTCTTTTTTTGCTGAGGAAGACTGGCCCTGGGCTAACATCCATGCCCATCTTCCTCCACTTTATATGGGATGCTGCCACAGCATGGCTTGCCCAGCGGTGCGTTGGTGTGCGCCTGGGATCCGAACCGGCGAACCCCGGGCCGCCGCAGCGGAGCGCACGCACTTAATCGCTTGCGCCACTGGGCCGGCCCCTATGTGGTTTTATTTTTAATCAACTGCTGTAAGGCTGAACAAGGTTTGGATATTAGAAGGGAGAGAGTAAATGAAGTAGCAGGGTGAAGTAGGTCACTATGAATTACCTCTTGCTTTATTAGAACTTTTGAGTGACCGGGTCCCTGCTTATATATCTTTAAATTTTATTTCTCTCAATAAAATGTTTTTTCTTATTTTTTTTCCTTTTTACAAAAACATTTTATTTTTCACTTCAGGAAAATCACATAAACCAAAAAGAACATAAAGCCACAGTCTCACCTATCCAGAGATAATCTTTTTTTGTGCCTTATTATGCTTCTACATATGTGTGTATATATTATATATGTATTTTTTAAAGCAAAATTGAGATCATACTACTCATACTGTTTTGTAACTTCTATCATTTAATAATATGAGTATCAGTACACATTAAGCCGTATGTTTCTGCAGTATCATTTTATGGCTATGTAGTATATATACCATTATTTGGATTTCCCATAATTTCTTTAATCCAGTCATTTATTATTAGACATTTAGATTGTTTCAGCTTTTCAAAATACTAAGAGTGTTGTTATGATATCACAAGATAGGTATTTTTGTGTTGATGACAGATTATTTCCTTAGCTTAAATTTTGAGAAATAGAAGTTCTAGTTCAAAGGGCATTTTAAAAACTTTTTAAATGTACTGCCAAATAATCTTCCAGAAAAATCATGTCCATTTATATTGCCACTAGTGGTATATGCATCTTTTTATTTATCTTTTTACTATGTATGATGCTGAGAGAGCTATAAGGAGATAGTAAGTATTATATCTGTCTGCAAAGAAATTATAGGCCAGTAGAGACAACACTTCTGAGGGTGAACTCCTCCCCTACTTTGTAGGGTATATTATTGTACCTTCAGACTCAGAAGGAAAACTTGTTTAAAATGAGAATTAAGACAATGAGTGATCATTTGTGTATGTGTTTCACTCTGGCGGAAATGCCAAAACATCCTCAGGCTATAAAATTGATAATTTCTCCGTTCAATTTTCAGGCCCTTAAATAAGTTTCTCATCTCTGCCTCCTTTCATCTACCCTTCATAATTGCCAGAATAACCTTCGTTAAGTAGAGCTGTGATCTCGTTACTTCTCTTTCAGAACCAGGGTAGACTCTCATGATTTGGTCCCAGGCTGTCTACCACCTTAACCTTATCGCTCACTATCATCTACATCCAGCCAAACTGTATCACTCAGTTCTTCAGATAGAGCTACTATTTTCCTATTTCTTTTCTTCTACTTTTTCATTTCATCTTTTTTCTTCTACCTGAATAGTAGACCTGATCCCTAACAGTTTTTCTATTAATCTTGCCTTCAAACAGCATTTTCTTCATAAAGAATGCTTTATTTAGCACCCCACTCCTCAAATTCAAAACCAAACCCTGGTGTATGTTTTCCCTTTGAACCTGCGTAATACTTTGTTTGAGTCTTTGATAGGGCACTTATATTTTACTTTAGAGTACAGGTAATTGTTGACTTGTCTTACACTTTCTCCCACCCAATGAAATGTAAGGTCACTGGGGGTAGGAATGATGCCATTTATTTCGTACCCTTCCCACAGCATATATTCTTACACGTAGTTTTATAGATGTTCAGTAAATATTTGTTGTATTAGTAGCTCTAATCTACAAACCAGATTATGGTGTTTCGAGCCCTTGCTTAACAATAGTAACACCTGGTATTTATTAACTTTTTGAGTGATATCACAGCTTGTTTCATCCTTACAGTCACCCTTTGAGTGATTTGCTAACCAGCAAAGTCATTCGACTTTGGCTTCATCCAGCCACAGTTTGGCTGGATGTAGATGATAGTGAGAGATAAGGTTAAGGTGGTAGACAGCCTGGGACCGAATCATGAGAGTCTACCCTGGTTCTGAAAGAGAAGTAACGAGATCACAGCTCTACTTAACGAAGGTTATTCTGGCAATTATGAAAGGTAAATGAAAGGGAGCAGAGACGAGAAACTTATTTAAGGGCCTGAAAATTGAACGGAGAGATTATCAATTTTATAGCCTGAGGATGTTTTGGCATTTCTGCCAGAGTGAAACACATACACAGATGGTCACTCATTGTTTTAACTCTCATTTTAAACAAGTTTTCCTTCTGAGTCTGAAGGAAAACTTCCAGGGACAGTTGAGGGCAGAGCTGTCTTCTGATTATCCATTTACTACTCTTTCCACAAGAGGGTGCTTTTGGGTAAAGTTTCTTCAAAGTGAGCTGCTCTTAATGGGCTTTAATGGGTTGCTCTTGAATAAGAATTTAACTGGACAGGAAAAACCCAGGAAAGGCTATTGCAGTATTTTGTATGTAATAATTATACATTAAGGAAGTACATCAATGACATAAGCCTGGATAGGTGCTATAAAATCTCTTAGGGATCTCTGATTTATTGTTTGGAGCAGGTGTAGAGGTTATTGTATTGAATGTAAGCAGAAAGAAAGAGGATAGCAAAAGGTAATTAACTAGTAATCAGAGCAGTTAATCAGTGGGATAGCCTTTGGAAAGTTGTTAGTTCACCATGATTGCAAGTGCCAAAAGCAGGGAGATGTCATAGAATCCACTGCTGTTGGGTTGGAAGCTGGAAAAAATGACTTTCAAGGTCCCTTACAACAATTTTATGATAAATTACATCTTGGAGGTTTAGTCTGGAAACGTGGAAGTTGCAGGCTATTTGTAAATTTTTCTTATGCTGATATTTCTTGTTTAGCCCAATTTTGTCTTTAAATGACTGCCATTTGTTCAAAGTCACTTTCACAGGAAGGATGATTGAATTAACAGAAACAGGGAGAACAAAGATTAGAGCGACTCTGGAAGTTCTTTGAAATCTAACTTGAATTTAACGCAATAAAATGTAGGGGAGGTCAAATTCATAGAAACAGAATGTAGAATGGAGGTTGCTGGGACAGGGGAGTTAGTGTTTAATGGGTGTGGAGTTTTGGTTTGGGAAGATGAAAAATGTTCTGGAGATGGATGGTGGTGATCACAATAATGTGAATGTACTAATGCCACTGAACCGTACACTTAAAAATGGTTAAAATGGTTAATGTTATGTATATTTTACCATAATAAAAAAAACAACATAGGGAAGAGGTTTCATCTTGTTAACGCATTTAAATACTTTGAAATCTAAGTTGCATTTAATGCAATAGAATGTGGGGACGATGTTTCATCTTGTTAAAGTATCTAAATAGGTGAAAACAGTTTGACTTTTATTCTTTTTGTTTGAAGCCATCAAGCCAGTTTGCAGGTAGAGTCGTTGCAGGAACAGTTGAACGTAGTCTCCAAGCAAAGGGATGAAGCTGCCCTGCAGCTTTCTGTCTCTCGGGAACAGGTAAAGCAGTATGCTCTGTCACTCTCCAACCTGCAGATGGTCCTAGAGCATTTCCAACAAGGTAAGTTGTATGGGCAGTCTTTGAATGAAGAAAAATTGTTTTTTTTATTGGAAATTTGGGCTTATTGGAGTGCTATTTTAGACTAGGCATGAGGAAACCTTTGAAAGGTTATCCACTTTTAGGGGGAAAAGGTAAGTAGCCATCAACAAGTTAATTCAGACTCCTTTAACAATTAAGACTAGAGAACATAAACTGTATACAGTAATCATCAAAAATTTGTTTTAGTGTTGTATTATGACCAGTTAAGGTGAGAGTTGGGGAGTATAAGAGTGACATGGAAAGGATGATCATGTGATAAAGAGAGGATACAAAGGAAGAGAGAGGCACCCACGTAGCAAAGTTGGTTAGGTTTTGAGATATTGGTTGGAGGTAGAACCCAGTTCAAAGAGTTAATCATCAGTAATTACTGTCCTTTGAAATATTAATTAACTTGTTCCTAGCTATTCATCTATACTTTGAGGTAACTACATTTTCTAGTCCTGGTGGAAAATACTTTTCTGGAGGCACAGTAACAGTGACCAGAGCAGTTTTACCCTGATAACTGAATACACTTTTTCACATCTACCTCCTATCCTCAGATATATCGCCTTTAGATCATTCACCCATCCATTCATTTAGTCATACATTCAGTAATTATTGGTAGTGAATTAACTGCTAGTTGGAGGCGGGTGATTAGGGGGTATGAGGCTAATGATGTAACAGGGGTTATAGTTTCGTGCCTAAGCAAAACTTTAAATTTGTGCATGTGTAGACCTTCAGGGTTACTCATATGATTGAAATCTTGAATTTTAAGTATAAGAATTCTCTAGGTCTACTCTATATACTACTAAAAGGGACATGTGCACAAAGTATATGGTACGAGGCTATGGAGAAAGCTTGCCAAAGAGGAAATATTTGAGTGGAGTTGTGAAGGTAGGGAAGAGTTTGCAAGATAGAGAAGATGGGGAAGGATTTAGGAAGAGGAAATTGATCTCATTACTTTAATTCCAATTACCATTATCACTAAGGCATTATAATTTTCTTGTTAAGATATATGAACTGGTTTTGTTGAATTATTAAAATCTCAAATGGTTTAAAATTCTAATTTTATCACACTATTGCAAAATACTAATATAACTTTTTTCTTCTTTAGAGGAAAAAGCTATGTATTCTACTGAACTAGAAAAGCACAAACAGCTTATAGCTGAATGGAAGAAAAAGGCAGAAAATCTGGAAGGAAAATTGGTGTCATTACAGGTTGGTCAAAAAAATTTTCTCTTATAAATTTTATTATTTATGAAACGATTACTTGTAGAATCTTTGTCTTGGAAATAATCTTCTAAACAATCAATTTAGTGGATATTGTTTGAGTGGCTACTCTGTACCTTATGATAGGGCATAATAAGACACTCAGGATTTCCCTCATCTGACTTATAGTTTAAAGTAGTCACAGCAAATATGAGGTGATAGTACATTTTAATTTTTTAGCACATTTAATTTAGCACATTTAGAGATCACTGAAAAAATATTGATCTACAATTTTAACTTTTATAATTTTCTCTTTTCAACAAAATATACTGGGCACTTTATTTCATACTTTATTTCACATTTCAGTGTATATTATCACATTAAATCTTTTTCTTTTTTTTTTTATCATACTATTACAGTTTAATGTATGAAATCTGAATTATGTCAGGGATATATACATATTTAGACCAATTTCTTAGGTCAAAGTTGTGGCAAATTCACTTAAATTCAAGGTTCCAAGCACTGGGCCAGTTCTTTGTACTTTAACAGCCTTTCCTCCCCATGAGATAAGTCCCTACTGTAAAGCCTGTGCTAATTCTGTCATAATATTTATCACATGTTGTACTTTAATTGCCAATTTATCAGTCTCCCATGAGACTGGGTGCTCCTTGAGAGCTGAGACTGTCCTGTTCACTTTGCCTTGAAGTAGGTACCAGATTATTTGCTAAATGAGTAATGAACAGTATTTCTATTCAAATGGTATGTTTTTTCCATAATTATTGAGTATTAATCTCTTATACCAAGGCTTTGATTTACCTTATGTTAAATCATTTTTAAAATCTATAGCTTTGAGGCATTTTATTATAAAAAGCTGGTACTCATATACATAAACTAATAAGAACTTAAAATTCATCATACATTTACTTCACTTTTTGGCTTGACCTTCCAGTAAATCTTTAGCTTCATTGATTTTGGGTGCTATATAAGGAGATCCTCCCTTGTCTGGCTGATTTAAAAGCATAATTCATCGATGAGCATCTCTTTTTTTCCTTTATTGATAGTAGGACTTATGCCTAGTATTAATGCTGCTTCCTGTTTTGTCATTTTGGGTTCAAATCCACCTCTGTAATAACCACTGCTGAAGGCAGATTTTGGTAGACTTTGAAAAACTTGTTTTACTTGAGGCTCCATATGCTTCATAACTTGCAAAACATTAACGGCCTGCCAATCCTGCAGCAGCAATGGTCAGTCCAGCGGCCACCACTGTAGTGGCCGTGGCTCCGGCTGGCTCCCCTGCCTCAACTGGGAGCGTGGTTTATCCCAGCCCAGAGGCTGCGCCGCCAACTCCGCGTCTCTACCGGAAAACGACCCGGCCACCGCCAGCAGGCACAAACTGCCCAGACAGGGGCGTCCCAGCCTAAATCTTTTTCTTTTGCAGCATAATCCTTTAAAATATTTTTCTCTTTATTATTATGCTATATTTAATGCCTACAAAAATTATATATAAGATATAAATAAAATGAACCCCCATGAAGAGATATAACACCAAAGTGACTTGCTTTTAGATTTAGGATAAACTTTTCTAAGTTTATTTATGACTCTGGTGATAGCTGGTGGAAAATAATGAAATTTATTTACTTATCATTAGTGGTGAACGTGCTGTTCAGGCAAGTTAATATTCCAAATAAGTGAAGACATATTTCCTTTAAAGTTTTAAAATTTTTATTAAATATTGACTGGCTGCAAAACAATATTTAGGTAAGAGATGAAATGTAAGAATATCCACATACTTGCCACCCAGTATAAGAAATAGAATGTCCCTTGAAGTTTCTTCTGCACCCCTCACCATCTCATCCCCTTCTGACTACCTCATAGATAACCACTGTTCCGAAGTTTGTTTGTCATCCTCTTGTTTTTCTGTATGGTTTTGTCACATAGATTTGCATCTCCAAACAATTCATTGTTTTTGCATATTTTTAAACTCTGTATAAATGGAATTTTGAACTGCATATAAATTGAATAATTCTTCTGAGACTTGCTTTTTTTGCTTAGTATTATTATGTTTATGACTTTCAGCTATGTTACTATGTGTTACTGTGTATAGATGGTTCATTATTTTCACTGCTGTATTTGTTGCATGAATGTATAATTTATTTACCATTTTACTGATAAAGGACATTTCCGTTATCTGCTATACAAACAATGTGGTTATGAACTTCCTTGTTTATATCTCCTGGTGCACATGTACGAGAGTTTCTTTCAGGTATGTATGGATTGGAATTGCTGAGTCATGGGATATACATGGCGATTTAAAGTTTATTAGATGATGGCAAATTGTTTTCTAGAGCAGTTGTCCTAATTTACTCTTACCAGTGGTGCATAAGAGTTCTTATTCTACATCCTTGGCAACACTTGGCATTATCAGAATTTTTAAAGTTTTTGCCAATGTGGTAAGTGGGAAGGTCTATCTTCTTATGGTTTTAATTTGCATTTCTCTGACTACTAATAAGGTCATGTGTCTTTTAATATGTTTATTGACCATTTATGCTTACTTTCTAGTCAGCTCATTAATGCATTTAAAAAGATATTTTATCCAACACTTTTAGTTGTTTCCAGTGGATCCAGAGTATCTGGTCTGTCATACTGTTAGAAGTCCAGATCTTCTTTTTTTTTTGTGAGGAAGATCAGTCCTGAGCTAACATCCATGCTAATCCTCCTCTTTTTGCTGAGGAAGACCGGCTCTGAGCTAACATCCATTGCCAATCCTCCTCCTTTTTTTTTTTTTTTTTCTTTTCCCCAAAGCCCCCCAGTAGGTAGTTGTACATCATAGTTGCACATTCTTCTAGTTGCTGTATGTGGGACACGACCTCAGCATGGCCCGAGAAGCGGTGCATCGGTGCACGCCTGGGATCCGAACCTGGGCCGTCAGCAGCAGAACGCATGCACCCAACCGCTAAGCCGTGGGGCCAGCCTTAGATCTTCTTTTTAAACTAGCTTTATTTCTTTTTTTTTATTGTAAAATTTTTGTTGTACGTTATTGTTTGTCAGTCACCATATAAATGCATCCCTCCACCCCTTGTGCCCACCCCTCATATTTTTTTTAATATAAAATGTAACATATATTAAGAAAAAGAACAAAGTAAATCGGAAGAAACTGAGAGATTTAGTAAAGATAAAAGCTGAAATTAATAAAATAAAAACAAACATGGTAGAAAGAAGAAGGAAACTAAACATTAATTTTTGAAAAAGTCTTAGTGTAGTTTTAAGCTTTAATAATCTCTTAAATATAAATGCTATGAGGTTAAAAAAATCACTTGGGGGGCCGGCCCGGTGGCTTAGTGGTTAAGTTCGTGCATTCCGCTTCAGCGGCCTGGGGTTCACAGGCTCGGATCCTGGGTGCAGACCTATGCACTTCTTATCGAGCCATGCTGTGGCAGGCATCTCACATATAAAATAGAGGAAGATGGGCACGAATGTTAGCCCAGGGCCAATCTTCCTCAGCAGAAAGAAGAGGATTCACAACAGATGTTAGCTCAGGGCTAATCTTTCTCACAAAAAAAAAAAAAAATCATTTGAAAGTTTATTTAAATTTCCTTTAAGTAAATTTAGTTTTGTGGATTTTGAATGTTAAATTTTTTATTTACATTTTTTTGTTTTAATCCTGCTGTGTGTTAGTCAGGGTTCAACTTGAGAAGCAGAACGGGTAGGTTCTTCAGACACACACACACATATACACATGGATATATATGATATACATGGATACTTTGAGATTTATTACAAGGAATTGGCAACGTGATTGTGGGGGCTGGCTAAGCAAGTCTGAAATTCCTAGGGCTGGCAGTCAAAATGGGAAGATCACATCACAGGCAGACTGGAACTCCTGGGCATGGGCCAGAGCTGTTGTCCACAAGTGGTCAGGAAAGAAAATCACAAGCAGGATGGAACTCCAGGGGCAGGGGCCGAAGTTGCCGTCCACAGAAGGAGTTTCTTGTGTTTGGCGAAACCTCCGCCCTGCTTTCAGGCTTTCAGCTGGTCAGTCAGGCCACTCTGATTATCCAGGATAATGTGCCTTCTTTCAATTCAGCTGATCAGGAGCTTTGATTACATTTGCAGAATACTTTCACAGCAGCATCTAGATATATATGATTATATAACTGGGGACTATGGCCTATCTAAGATGATATGTCAAAAAAGCTATCACACTCTGATTTAAGATGTTAAGACTTGACCTGAAATTTACATGGGTGAATACTCTAGAATAGCCAAGAAAATTGTGTGAAAGAACAACAGTGAAGAGGGACTTGCCTACTAAATATCAAAATAGAGCCCTAAATCAATACCATATTGACTAGATTAGTGGGACAGAAGGAGAATCGGGCAATATATATATTTGAGAATTTAAAACTAAACCCTAAACTAAACTAATTTCAATTTAATGGGAAAAATGATAGATTATCTAATAAATTATGTTGGCACAACTGGCTGTCTATATGGAAGAAAATAAAATTGGACCCCTATCTTACACCATATATAGAAGTCAATTTCAATTGTATTAAAGCAAGGATTCTCAACTTGGAGTGGTACTGGAAATCTAGGGCTATTTTTGGATGTTACAGTGCCTGGATGGGTCTTCTGGCATTTAGTGAGCAGGGGCCAGGAATGCCAAAAGCACTCCCATTGAGAAACACTATATTAAAGATGTAAATATTAAAAAAAATAAATATCTTGTGAAAAAATCTAGAAGACCACATGTGCAGTCTAGGGGCAAGGAGGAGCCTCACTAAGACTAAAACTCAAGAAGCTATAAAAGCAAAGTAGGACATGTTTGATTATACACAATTTAAACACTTTTACATGGCAAAAGATATTTTACAGTCCACAGACAAATGGCAGATCTGGCAAATAGTATTTGTAGCACTGATGACAGAGGGTTTGTGTCTGCTATATGAGGTGCTCTTACAAACTGACAGGAGAAAGGCAGCTCAATAGAAAAACGGGCAAGGTATGCAAAGAGGTTTTCACAGAAGAGCAGATCCGGCTATCCTGTAAACATGAAATAATGCTCAAATTCACTAGTAGTTAAGGAAATAAAAATTAAAGTAATAATGAAACATTGCTTTATATACCCATCAGACTTGCAAAAATTAAGAACATTTGTTGCTATATTTCTTGACTTTTTGTATCTACTGTTTATAGTTTTTATTTTCTTATTATTGTCACTTTTTTTACTTTTGTCATCATGTTGTCTTTTAGTAGCATCCTTTGTTTTAATGTAGTTACTCTAAAAGAGACAGTATTGTATTGTGAAGTGTGGGTTCTGTCTTGATACTTATTAGTTGTGTGAACTTGCCAGGGTCACAAAGGTATAGCTTCATCAGCAGAAATAAAAAGGTTTGATTGACCCCAAGATGTCTTCCAGCCCTATCGTTTATGAAATAATTTTTGCATGCCACTTTTTAATGAACTTTCCTTCCTCAGGAGAGTTTGGATGAAGCAAATGCTGCCTTGGATTCAGCATCAAGACTTACAGAACAGTTAGATTTAAAGGAAGAACAAATTGAAGAACTTAAAAAACAAAGTAGGTTTTTATTCTTTCCCTTCTTTTTTCCTACAACACTAGTGTTGAATGAAACATAGTTTCCCTCATGCATTGGTACAGTTGAGTGATCCAACTTCCATTGGTATGTGACTTATATTTCCATCTCCCATGACCAGTTTGCTTCAATTTGAATATGATCCTAGTGAAAGCAGAGTCATAAGTTGGCCCTGGCTGTCCAGTTGGTTTTCCTGGATGTTGAGGTAATCCAGTTGTGTTGGCTGTCACCCTGTTGTCCTTCAGGGGGGACTGACCTGACTTATTATTACGGTTATGACTTCTCCCTGATCAATCTGTGTTCGTCCTACCTAGAGGCATCTGATGTGTTATAGAGGGCAATACTCTCAAGTAAAAGAGTAACTTTTTGTGAAATGAATGTCTGGGTATAACTAGCTTTTTATGGTTATAGGTAGTGTGTTACATACAGGCACTCATCATATATTTTTTGATTCTTGTACGGTATCTCATAAGCCTGGTCAGTTCCCTAAGGTGAGTCCAGTGCTTAGGATTATCAGTTGTGCCCCAAATGTTGAAATGATTGCCCCTACTTGGAGGCAGTGTTTATTGGGGAAACAGTCTAGTTAGGTGGAAGGCCAATGCAACTACAGCGTTATCTGGAAGACATATGGGCAACCCAGAGGAGATACACTGGGCACCCAAGGGATTAGCCAAAGAATTGATGTCTTAGGGTGGGGCTAGACTAATGGGGTGAAAAGGCAGTATTCTGAACCAGCTTGTTGGTCTGTGACAACACAGTACTGTTTGTCATGCTTCTGTAATATTTAAGGCCACATCTCCTTTTAGATATCTACCTGAGTCATTCCCAGTAGATGATGGTAAGATAAAAAATTCTGTGACTTACTGTAGTTGATAAATATTACCAGAGTCCCTGCACTACTTAGTACTTGTGCAGGCACCCATTTAAACACCCAGTGGTAGAGTATTTTCAGATTTTGATTATAAATGACAAGGCTTAGGTGGCTTAGGTCCCTACTCATGCAAAAAAGTATAATTAATATTTATTATAAGTGTATAGGAACTTTGGACTCATTTTGTGGAGTCAATATTAGCTACAGAAAAAGCTCTAATTATGCTTATACAACTGGTATTTGGAAGGGCGGGCAAGAGGCCAGTGTTGCACAGACAGGAAGGGGAGTAAAGAGACAGTTCTGTTATGTCTTTAAGTCATTCTTGCCATTTACAGCTCTTCTTAGCAATCTGTTTTCTTTTATTAGCTAAGTGCTTAATGTTGCTTTTGTATCTCTAAAAAACAAAATGTGATTTTATTTTCTCAAAGCTGCACTCTTGATTTGATAATATAAATAAAACTTTGATTGGCTTGGTTGTTTCAAAAGAATCACTGTATATTTTCTTTCATAGATCATTAAGTACTTTAAATGTTGATTGATGTTGTAATACTGTACTTTATTTTTAACACAGAACTTGGCCAGACAGCGAAAATATTTGCCAGGAGAAACAATTTTGAAAAAGACAGATTGGCTTTTGTTGCATGAAAGTACATAGAGACTTGAATTATAGTGGCAAAGTATTGTTTCATTTCTAAGCATCTCTAGACTGATGATTATTTGATATGAGGTTTCAACATTTAAACAATATTAGGAAACTCACTTAAAAAAGTGGTATTTTATTTGAAAAGCTTGATTATATATATCATTGCTACCAGAGATGAAGTGATTCAGTCTGGTTGAACATATGAAAAGGGAACTGTATAGCATGAAACAGCAATATTAAAACAGTAGATTGTTGATGATTTCAGTCCTTCTTAGAGTACGTAATTTTCAGTGCCATGAATGTACAACCGTGGTTATGGGTTCTGGGTATTTATAGACCTTGTATGAAAAGTATGAAGATACCTTATCAGGCATTAAGTATTTAATGAGAACCAGTTACTTGGCTTCGTGTTAGATGCTATGTGAGATACTAGATAGATCCCTTTTTTCAAGGAGCTTTGTTAAGCAAGTAAGATAGCATGGATACACCATAGGTTCATAGTTTAAGACAGTGGTCACAACAGTGGTCATAAGACAGTGTGTATTTAGTTCCCCCAAAAAGCCCATTAAGGTTCAAGGGCATTCCATAGAGGAAAGGAACTGGAGCAGAGCCCTAAACTAATAGTAGGATTTCACCCCGAAAATATAAGAACCTTTCTCTTTCCCTTTCTCTCTTTTTCTCCTTTCCCCTCACCACTATCCTCCCTATAGGATAGGGAGGTAACAATGATATAGGGAAAGTAACAATGAAAGGAAACCCTAAGGTCCTATAGGTACTATATTTTAATAGATAACGTTGGCTGGTACAAGAATTACTGATATCTTTCTTTTTTGAAGTTATTCTTTCAGCATTTTACCCAGGAGTGTTCTTTTTCGATATAACCCCAAAGACTTGTTTCACATGCCATCCTGTATTTTATTGACTTTTCAAACTCAAGACACTAGTCCTCTCTGAAGCAGACAGGACAGTGTCTTTCATTAACTATCCTGAGTTGATGAGAGTTCAGAATTTCTATGTAGTTGTCACTAATGGGAAAATATACACCTTTGGAAACCTAGACCACAGCTGAACCGTTAAAAGATGCGTTATCTTGCTATATTTGTGGCTAACTGACATTTTCCTTCTTTCACTTCTTATTCTCTGCCGTTATCCTTGAGATAAATTCCTGTTTAAATGAAAGTGATTGGATGAAATTGAAATAGAAAGCACAAAATAGTTGTTGTTTTGATAACTGTTATTCAAAAGGGTGCTGAATTTTATAGTATGCAAAGAAAAATGTTTTCCTAAACAATACAAGTTTAGATTCTAGCATTGGGAAAATCTTTTGGTGTGTCTGCCAGTTTATAGCTGTATCTTAAAGGGTCCCATAACTGATTTTTTTTTTAAGGTTTGGTGACTGCTTTTTAAAAAGTCTTCTATGAGTTGAGAATGGAAAATTTCCTTAGAGTGTTTTTTTAAAGAAAATCAAGAAGAACATATAAAATGAGCGCCAGTAAACCTACTGTAATATGAAGCATAAAAACGTGTTTTAAAACTACAAATATAAAAGAAGTTTAAAATATTTTTCATGGAACTACCTTTATGGTGCTGGATTGTAGTTTTTATTTTAAATAAAGACATTCTGTTTTCCAGGACATGATTTATACAAGAAAACATATAATGTCCTGTTGAATATAGGCCAAATACATTCCCAGACGCTTTGTTACCCAAACCTTTTGAGGGATTTCTTTATAGATGTTTTTGGCAGAAGTGGTGATTTTAGAGGAAACATATAAGAAATACCAGATGCAGTTTTCTGAATTGCCATAAATGGTTAAAAAATTATTTGTGACAGTATAAACATCTGGGTATACTAGATAATGTCAAAATTTTAGTTAAGAAAAACGTTTATATCAATTAGGTAAATAATTAAGCCCTTTTAAACTTAATGAGTATAATTTTAAATGTGTATTTTATTAATTCTTCTAAGTATAAAGGAAAAAGTAAATTATGTAGAGATGAGAATGTTCTGAGTTAATGTTTTTTGTGTATTTTCCCTCGTATGGATGAGTAATTCAAAACATAAATCATTTATTCTTTTTGTCCTGTGTTCTGTTCTTCCCAGATATTCTCCTTTCCCAGAGAAAAATCAATCATTCTTTATTTATCAAAAATTTATTATTTTCTGCTGTGTACCAAGCACTAAAATAGACACTGGTGGTACAAAGATAGGGGACAAGGTCTCTACTTTCAGGAGGTCTACAGTCAGGCCCAAAGGGGAAGACTACATGTAATCACATCCATGTAACAAATTGTTTCAAAAGGAAGGAGCAATCCATTCTACTTGGTGATGGTGGTATGGAATGGTAGAAAACACTAGTGAATGGTGTGCTTGACCTCACTTGACTGATGAATAGGTACAGCTAAGCAGGTAGGGAGTTGGGGAAGAGTATTCTAGACAGAGGGAGCAATTCATGTGAAACTATGTGGCATAATCTGGAAACTGGCTGAAGATCTGGGGAACTAGTAATAACCAAAGGGAAGGCAGAGGTGGAAATGGATTCCTCTGTGGAGAAATGAAACTATAAGTATGGATCACAACCAGAAATTGTAAACTGGGGTCCAAATGACAATATGAAAGAGCAAATAGAATTGAAGACTGTGGTGAATTGGAGAGTTTGTTATAGGGGGCAGCAAATTCTCAGCTCCACCCAACTGTTGCCAAGCAGGAGGGTGAGCCCAATGTTGCCAACTCTTTAGATCTTTCAAGAGACGCTGGAAATGTAGATTTTTATGTGAAATATTCCAGTTTTTTATTGTGAACCTAATTTAAGTTTTTCTAAAAACCCTTTGTGGGCTGAACAAAACATTTCTTTGGGCCGGATTTAGTCTGTGTTGATTTGCAACAGGGAGCTTTCAGAAATGAATTGAGGTTCAGTCTGCAGCCTAGAAAACCTTTTGTATAGTGTATTTTCGTAGTGATGATGATATTAAGTGGCAAAATTATTATAATGATTTTACTTTTCACTGACAAAATTGCAGTCCTTTATTTTGGGATGTAGCTGGTCTGAGTGAATCTTTAAATGTTAAATATGTAACTTGACTCACAAGATTCAGTCTTTTAAAAAATTTTTGATTTGTTATGGAAAAATACAGTACAAATGATCTGAATTCATACTAAAGGATTGAGGGAGGAGGGTGGAGAGGGAAAATAAATTTGATCTTGTTACATTAAAAATATTTATATAAAATCTCAAATGCACTTAGTAACTCTAATTTAAGTGTACAAATAATCCAGTAGACCTCAACATTGCTATTTCAGTTTAATCACAGATTCTGATCTAGTGAAATTCAAATTAACAAGGTTATACTGTATTAATAAACTTCTTTTCCTGTTAGTTCATTGCTAGGAAGTGGAATTTCAAAAATTACTTTTCAGCAATTAATAATTATAATTATGGAACAAGAAAGCATTCAGCATGTACTCTAGACCTTAAAATTCTGTGTCTGATATGGTTGAAAAGAATTGAGTTAAAAGACAGCAGATGCTACTATGTCTTAACTTCAAATGTAAATAAATATAAGATGCCTTTAAAAAATGTTATTTGGTATTATAATGAAAGTGATCTTGTGTAAGTTGAAATTCTGTAATAAAAAGACCACCTAATTTCTAGCTTTAGCTTTGATTATATTTAATTAAATGAGTCCAAATTTCCTTATATTAGATTTAATATATCAGATTTAAATTTATTTTTTAAGTAGCCAGTGCAAGTAAGACATTAGATCCAATTTATTTACTGACATATCTATCTATGAAATCATCTTTCTAACATTTTTTTATTCCTTCTGTTGACTCTTGCCTTGGTTTGTAAAGATGACAAATAAGACAAAATGGAGGAAAAATGATCAATGTTAATATTAACCAAAGTGATACATATTGATATTGGTTAGAGCTACGTTGAAAGATGAACTCTAGTTGTTTTAAGAAATCAGATGAATGAGTGCTAATGCTTTATATGGCACTTTACTCTTTAGAAAAGTCACATTTAATTACTCAGTAGATTCTCTCAAAATCCTTTGAGAAAAGCATGCTCATTTTACAAAACAGACAACAAAGTTTGGTCCTGGTGGCAGGAACATAATTCATATGCATGTCCTCTGACTCTCAAGTCCTGTTCCAGCCACCTTTCTTTTCTCTGTCAGGTGACTGTTCAACCTGACTGAATCTTGTCCAAGAGAGCTTAGTCTTGAAATAGCCAAATGACTTTGTAAGGAGTGTGACTTAATTTTATGATGTTCTCTGAAGACAGTGTTATAGTACAGCATTACTATGTGACTTAATTTTATGATGTTCTCTGAAGACAGTGTTATAGTACAGCATTACTAATCACAAATAAAATGTAAAATTATGATTTGCTGATTTGTTGTAGTCAATTACGTTTTATGTTCAATTTTCATTTTATTTTTATTTTTTATTTATTTATTTATTTTTGTGAGGAGATGAGCCCTGTGCTAACATCTGCCAATCCTCCTCTTTTTTTGCTGAGGAAGACTGGCCCTGGGCTAACATCTGTGCCCATCCTCCTCCACTTTATATGGGACGCTGCCACAGCATGGCTTGCCAAGCAGTGCATCGATGCACGCCCAGGATCCGAACTGGTGAAGCCCGGGCTGCAGCAGTGGAGTGTGTGCACTTAACCGCTTGTGCCACCGGGCTGGCCCCCAATTTTCATTTTAAATCAAGTGATAAAGACCATGGTGCCATCTCTAGGCATTACGGCACAGGGGCTCAGATATGGCAGGTTTGGGGATGTCGTATATTCAGAGTAACTCTTCCCCTAACCTAGACTAAATCTCAGATGCTTTATTGTTCAACTTGAAAGTATACCCCACTGCCCTCTTTTTTTTTTTTTTTTTTAACTTCCAGAGAATTATTTTGGCATGTTAGAGTATTTCACAGGGATATTGTATTTGGAAAAAATCCATTTCTGAATAACCGTATTTTACCTGCCCATATAAATACAGTTCTGATTTCAAATTGTGGTTTGAATTAGTGTTCAGTTTTTGTGGAGAGGTATTCAGAATCTCTGATGCGGGGAGAATAAGGGTGCCTAGAGAAGAAGAGAAGTCTGTAGGGACCTTTGAAGTTGGTATTTGACTTTCTTTTCTTTTCTAAACCTTTCCTAGTTAATACCATCCTTCCAATCCCTTACCCCAAATTCTGAGGGCTTTTTTCTAGACTCAAATATCAGAATATGTTTAAATTACTACGTAAATTTGTAACAGCCCTCTGCATGCCTGCAAGGATATGCAGAGTTATCAATTCTCTATCACATTAGTTCGGGACTAACTTCTGTTCTGCTAATAGGTTTAAGAAATTTTACCCTGTTATATTGGCCTTAAGGATGTTTTGACCCTACCTTTGAGAACACAAGAGATTTTAATCAAAATTATACCAATATTAATTAGTTTTCATCAAGAAAATATTTTTGACTTGAACTTTATTGACAGATTTCTTAATCAGTTTTTCATAGAGCAAAGGTAAATTTTTCTAATTTATTTTATTAAAATCGTTTTTATCAGAATCAACTCTGAATTTTACTCTGAAGATGTCTATTCATCATTCAGTTTTGTCTTTCTTTTTTTAGTAAGAGACAGTATAGTGTGGTTATATCCTGGTTATGCTCCAAGGCAGTACTAGCCAATAAAAATATAATGCAAGCCACATGTATAATTTAAACTTTTTTAGTAGCCACGTTAAAAAAGTAAAAAAGATACAAGTGAAATTAATTTTAATAACATTTTATATAGACCAGTGTATCCAGAATATTATCATTTTGACATCTAATCAATATAAAACATCATTAATTTTAGAAAAAAGTAGGTAGAAGAAGGGAAATCTCAGAGAAAGGGAAGATATGGGTGGGGTGTGTTTGACCTCTTTCTGCTACCTTTCTAGAGCCTTGGGGAGGAGTGGGGGAGGATGAAAGAGAAGACTGTGTCCGTCGTTACTGTGAGTCTTACTTTAGCTCTTGCGTGGGATGGTTAATTCAAAACATCCACAAGAGATTCACTTACTTGCTATTCTTCTGAGTAGTTGAGAGTTCTGTTTACATTCAGAGTGTAGTACTAGAAAAGGCCCAAATAGCACCATCCGTTCATTGTATATATGTGCACATTAAGAACCTAAAATGTCTTTTACTTACTTAGATTTTAATAATAGTCTTGTTCTCTCTCTCTCTCTTTTTTTAATGTCCAAGCTTAAATTCCTTACTGGAAAGACAGGAAAGGAAACGTTTGTAGTAGATTTTCCGAACACAAACCTTGCTTTTATAATATGGTTGTGGCAACCATCTCTATTTTGGTAAAGTTAGCCTATTATATGAATTACATTTTGCAATATTATTTGAATTACATTTTGCAGAAAAACCACAAGCCATTGCACACAGTTAAACTGGACATTTTATATATACATTTAGTACTGTACATCAGAATTTTAGGTATTGTACAAGACAGTGAAAATAAAGCAGATCGACCTGGCCTAATCTGTAAGGTTCAGAGAAAACTTCTTTGAGGAAGTGACCTGGGAACTGAGCCAGGAAGGGTGAATAGGAGTTAATAGGCAGTGCCAATGGAAAAGATCTTTCCAGGCGGAAGAAAAAAACATTGCAGAAATCTTGCAGTGGGACTTGAGAGTCCAGAAATAAACCACACATTTATGGTCAATTGAATTTCAACAAGGGTGCCAAAAGAATAGTTTTTTCAACGTATAGTGCTGGAACAACTGAATATCCACTTGCACAAGAATGAAGTTGGACCCCTATTTCATACCATGCACAAAAATTAACTCAAAATGAATCATAGACCTACATTTTAGAGTTAAAACTATAAAACTCTTCGAAGAAAACATAGAAGGAAATTTTGTCATGTTGAGTTAGACAGTGGTTTCTTAGATATGACACTAAAAGCACAAGGAACAAAAGAAAAAATAAATTAGACTTCATCAAAACTAAACACTTTTGTACTTCAAAGGATACTATGAAGAAAGTGATATGACAACCCACGGAATGGGAGAGATATTTGCAAGTCATATATCTGAAAAGGGAATTTGTATCTAGCCACTGCTAGGAGAAGGCAGCGTGACTCAAGGAGCACGTTTGTGGAGAGAGGCGAAAGTGGTGTCTGGGTGTGAGTGTTTCTTGATTTGAAACGTAGAGCTCTGCTGCAAAGCAGTCTCCTCTTCATTTATTTCAAAACAAAACTTGTAATCTAGCTTGAAGTTAAGTATCTCGTTCGGCTGAAACTCTCCACTTGTGTGAGGTAATGTGTAACTCGTGGATCTGGCTGAGAGCTCCTTAGTCTAGGAATCCTTGGCCCTGTGGCATGGGTGAATTTGTGAACAGGGTATCTCCTGTTGTGATTCTAGGCTTTGCCTTTAATACTGCTCAAATTCCAACTATTCCACCAAGCTTTTACAGATTTTGCTTCCTTTTTAAATAAATAGAATTTTAAAATAAAATAGTCCAAACAGCCTTCTAAATCAGTCAAGCTATAATATTTTGATTAGTGTCTTAGAACCAGTGATCTGAATTGTGTTTTGCAATTTATTTACCCCAGAATACTTTGCCCTATCAGCTACATCCTGAACCATGTGTTAGAACTACTACAACTACACTCATAGTTCTAGTGTTAGAAACTCTTCTTAGTCATTTCACCAAAAAACAGAGTCCAGCCAGGAAAACGGAAAAAGGAAAATCTAAAATTGTCCTTTTCATTTCTTCCCGTTAAAGAGTGACTCTGGAAATGTTTCATGCAAGAAAGCAGTGGTGAAAATTTCTTCTTTGCTATTAAGTTTCTGAAAAGAATGAAAACCGTTTTTTTGGTTTTTAAATTTTCTCTTAAAGAATTCATTACCTTATTGGGGTTAAACTGTGTGAATTAATGCATACTCTGACCTCCAGGTAATTTCTATACCAGAGAGCCTAGTTCCGTGAACCAAAGAAGAGATGGAAGTGATTGAATATTTCTAATTAGAATAAGTGCATATATTCAAAATTCACAGTAAAGATGTCATAAATTTCATTATATGTTCATCTAGACTATTTTAATCCATTAATGACTATCTTTATTCGCATGTTCTAAAACAGATGAGCTCCGACAAGAAATGCTGAATGATGTACAAAAGAAATTGATGAACTTAGTGAACAGCACAGAAGGAAAAGTGGACAAGTAGGCTCTGCCTTTTAACTTTTACATATTTTATAGAGATTACTTTGATGGTAAAAACTTCTACGCATAGATGTTTATATGTGACTAAGTTTTTAAAAAGCCTTTTCTTTTTCTATATAGTGATGAGATGTAGGTGTTTTTAATGAGGGGTCAGCAGAATAGCTTCTCTTCTTGGTTTTTAAATAGATTTTTCCCAGCTCGAATTCTTTTTCTTAAAACCATGTGGAAAAGATGAAATATCGCCACAACATGACATACTTGAAAATAAAAACTTTATTCTTACCATTCCTTTTTGCTCTCTTTACTGTCCTTAAATGAACATATCTTGTTCAAATGTATTAGGTGTGAAACCTAGGTATATATGTAATAGATCATTAATATTTTAAAGATTTAGATATTATTAGCAAATTTTTAGTGAATGTGAATGGGGAAATAAAAGCATAACCGTTAAGCACAAGAACTATCATCACCATTTAAAGTGGAGAAGGAAAAATCTGAAATGTCTCCTCAAGGTAGACGTCAACCCAGACAGACACTGAGAATTACTGAGGAGGCACCGTCTCAGTTGATTATTTAGTTGAAGAAAGTGGGTGACTAATAAGTGATGTTTTAAAAGGTATACATTTTGCGTTGTTTGAAATATTCTTAGACTTGTCAAGATTTTTTAAAAAGTTACTTTAAAATATTTTATTGTTTAGTGTTTTCTATAATTATCATTTAAGTATAAATATGTATATGATTAGTGGTTATTGTTTGGGTACACTAAATATTGGGATAACGTTGAGTTAATTTGAGCTGTTTCTGCCTTCATTTTCTTAGAGTCCTAATGAGAAACCTCTTCATTGGACATTTTCACACACCAAAAAATAAGCGTCATGAAGTGTTACGATTAATGGGAAGCATCTTGGATATCAAAAGGGAAGAAATAGATCAGGTAACTGAACAATGAAAGACATTCTGAATATATTTATAACTAAAATAGTGGCATGATATAAAATTGTTTTCTTTTACTGTAGATTATATAACTTTTCTTGAATACAGTTTTCTCAGTAATGTGGAAATGGAGTCATTTCACGGTGAAGAAGTAGATTTGTCCAGTTTGTGTCATATCAGTTTAAATATTTTGTAACTTAGAAGCCACCTGTCTTATCAGAATGCTGAAATTTTAAGACGTGACAATCTTCATCTTTTACTCGATAGTGCTTAGGATGACATGTCATTCTATATGTAACCTTTATCAGTAAGAAACATACATTTCATTGTATTTGTAGCCTCTATCAGTAGGAAACATTTACTAGGAATTGGACTCAAAAAGCGTGGTTTGCTAGCACCTGAAATCATATAAAAATTGTTCTTTTTTTTTTTTTCTTGTATTGATAATATTTTTCTGTTTTAAAATTAATCTTTCAGTTGTTGAATGAAGATCAGGGCAGTGTTACCAGGTGGATGACTGGGTGGCTTGGAGGAGGATCAAAAAGTGTCCCCAATACACCTCTGAGACCAAATCAACAATCTCAGTTTAATAGCGTAAGAGTCGATTTTATTCTTGCTGAGTATGAATGGTGAAATGATTGTATATCACATTCGTTTGCAAAGAATCAGAGTTCCTTTTTAGGTTATTTTATACAGCCCTTTTAGTTTGGAGTTGTAGAAACTGAGATCCAGAGAGGTGATTAGTTTAAAGATAATAAGCCAGTCTTAATAATTTTATTTCATATAGGTTTTGTTTTAACTTTTTATTTATCTGGTACTTTTATTTTTCAAAGTATTAACTGTTCCCTTCTTTGTATTTGATCATGCTGCTGTAGGCACACAATTATTTGTTTGTCTTACTACTAAATTATGAGATTGCTAAAGACAAAGGCTCTATTTTATGCATGTATGTATCTACCTAGTCATTGAGCTAATAAATACTTATTGAGCACCTACTGTGTACCAGACTGTTCTGAGCACTGGGGATACAGCAGCAAAGCAGACAAAGTGCCTGCCCTCAGCAAGCCTGCATTCTAGTAGGAAGAGGCTGTGAATAAACATGAAAACATAGTGCCTGGTATATAGTAGCTTCAGATAAATATTAGAGTTGAGTAGTGTGTTAGAATGTGGAGTTTACTTCTTTATTTTTTTTTTTAATAAAGAAGAAACTGAGGATAGATGACTTAGTCAGAGCTCGTTAAAGATAAAACCCTATTTAAAATTGGATGGCGTAAAATTTAATTTAAAGGAAAGGTCTACATTATTTTATTTTAATCTGATAATATTGCTAGTGAGCTTTTGCTATATTCATTGATTGGTTGTTACTTTAGAAAAATATGACTGTTTACTAGTTGTATGCCATCAATATAATATTTTATGTTTATGTAAAGTTATTAAAATGATTTAAAATTTTATATCTTAAGTGCCATTGATGGCAAGAAATCTGTGTTACCAGGTGGCTAATTCTGACTGTAACGTTTGTAACAAGTGTTGTCATCAGGCTATTGATTAAATTGTTCAAGTTTTTAGTTGATATCTAATGTAACTAAAGTACTAGCAGTTTTTGTTGTTCATAAAGCTTATTTATAAAGAAGTTATTCAGATGGCATGATTAGTTTTTAATATTTAATTAGAGCAGCTGGTACATTTTTTTTAGTTGTAGTGAATATAATTTTAATATCTGCCTTATAGAACCCAAATATTTTTTTCTTAGTCTTTTTCAGAACTTTTTGTTAAATTTCTGGAAACGGAATCTCATCCATCTGTTCCACCACCAAAGCTTTCTGTTCATGATATGAAACCTCTGGATTCACCAGGAAGAAGAAAACTAGAAACAAATGTACCAGAAAGTTTTAAAGGTAAAAGCAGATATTTATTTTTTCTACAGTTTAAAAAATCAAATGCTTAATTTGTGATTATATTTTATAGTGATATTAAATTTTTAGTGTTTTTGAAAATGTGCAATGACTTCTTCCAAAATTCCAATAAGGCATTAGATTTTGGCTTCATACAGTCTTAGCAATAGCAATCTGCTATTTAATTGGCTTAGATTAATGTGAACAATATGAAATATTTTCCTTTTGTGTATCAGAATAATTCTCTCTCTGCATAAGCCACTTTGAATTATTCTTGAAAGTAGTGGTAAACTGGTAAACCTTTGCTTGGTCACCTGTTTTCCTTTCTCACTAATGGTGCTTATTGCTAATCAGAGTTAGAAGTGTAGTTTATAGTTAGAGAAAGTTTTTTTTCCCCGTGAAGATCTAAGTGTTACACTCAATAACTAAACCTTGGTATGCTAATAGTATTTATAAGAGCAGTTTAGTAAACTGGCTTAGACATCCAAGAACGTTATGAAGGTCTGCCTGGCAGCGGATGGTTTGGTGGTTCTATAATGTGTGTACATAGTTTTCTATCCCATTAGGTTGTAAGGGTCTTATTTATATTCATATCCCCTATATTAGCATTCAGTAAAATTTCTTGAGTTGAAATTGAAGTATAATCCATTAGACTATAAATAGATTCTTCACCTTTTAGAAGGTTTCCCTTTTATCTGAAATCTTCATATTTTAATAGAGACTAACGTGTTTGCTAGTTGAACTGTAAAGGTATTGTTTTTATTATACACTCAAGTTTATGTCACGTCAGATACTTAAATTTGGATAAAATATTAAAGAATTTATATCCTGAAATTTTAAAAACTGCCTTAGTCATTTAGACAAATATATCTATTTCCCTGAACTTTTATAGAAGGAAAAAGTGGTAAAATTTGTTGTTAAGATTTGGCAGCTAAATTTAGTGAAAAGTCTTAACTTTATCTAACAGGTGTAGACTATACTAAAAACACTTTCTTGTCACAATAGATTGTGGCGTCTTGAAGCAGATTCCGAAATTCATTATGACAGGGTCTCTCCCTTCCCTGTCTCTGCTCCGTCCTGTCTCCTCCTTCCCTCTGCTCCCTCTTTCCTGTTCTCCCCGGCTTCAGTTGTCAAGTCCTGTGCTCAGCTTGATTTGTATTGGTCAGAGACAAAAGCCAGTGATGTTCTGAGTTGGTAGAGGGTTTGCATGAAAAAAAGCAAGCTTAGTCGTACAAATCCTGGATTTGTAAGTGTGTGGCGAGAGTCAGAGTTTACTAAGAGTCACCAGAAGCTTTTCCAGAGTTTGGAAAGTTGTCATTCACAGGAAAGTACAGCTTGGGGACCCACGGGAGATTGATGATAAATAGATTTGATGAATTTGTCTCAATGCTCTCTTTGTTTTGGAGGCTTCTTTTATTTGAGTTTCCCATTGCTGAAGTGGGCACCTTCAAAGGGTTGCTTGTCTCTTCACAATGAAGTTGTTAGTGGTCTTGGGTAATAAAGCAGAGTTTTATCACTAAGCATTAGGCCATAAACCAAATACCTATTCCAATAAAAACTAATTGTTCATCCTAACTTTATGCAGAAATGATCTAATCAAGACTTGTTTTCAAACTTTTCAATTTCTAAAAGATGATCGACTCATTTAATGCATATATCGTTTTTTCCTTTGGGTAAATTAATATGAAATCTGATTGTTATCATTGTAATATGGGTGCTAGTTTTTTTCATGACCATCGTAATTGGGGAAAACAAGTTCTCAAGTCCTTCATCTTTCAGGTGAGTAGAGAGTTTGCCTTGTAACGTAGGGAACACATTTTATTTTATTTTATTTCATTTATTTATTTTTTTGTGAGAAAGATCAGCCCTGAGGTAATGTCCATGCCAATCCTCCTCTTTTTTTGCTGAGGAAGACCGGCCCTGAGCTAACATCTATTGCCAATCCTCCTCCTTTTTCTTTCCCCCCAACGCCCCACTAGATAGTTGCATGTCGTAGTTGCACATCTTTCTAGTTGCTCTATGTGGGACGCGGCCTCAGCATGGCCGGACAAGCGGTGCGTCGGTGCGCACCCGGGATCCAAACCCGGACCGCCAGTAGCGGAGCGCATGCACTTAACCGCTAAGCCACAGGGCCGGCCCCGGGAACACATTTTAAAAAGCTGTTACTATAGTAAATGAGGTTTATCAGTCATAGAACTGGTATTTAAATATAAACCAACAATATTAATGTGTTTAATAAAGTATTGGCTATACATACATACACATATTCTTTTCTCCTTTCTTCTTTCTCCCATTCCTTTCTCTTATTGTCTCTCACCCTTTTATGTTTTATAGACCCTGCTTATCGGATCCAGAATCCAGCAGCATATGAATTAAATTTATTTAGGGGCCAAATTTATTTATTTAGGTATCTGGGAACCTAAAACACATGTATAGCCAGCATTGACTAAAAAAAATTATAGGAGACTAAGCAGTTCATATTTTATCGTTTAGATGCAGCAGAATCCAGGCCTGGTAGAAGAACAGACGTGAATCCGTTCCTGGCCCCCCGCTCTGCGGCTGTGCCTCTCATTAACCCAGCTGGACTTGGACCTGCTGGGCCTGGGCATCTCCTTTTGAAACCCATCTCAGATGTGTTGCCCACATTTACCCCTTTGCCAGTGTTACCGGACAACAGCGCTGGAGTCGTGTTGAAAGATCTTTTAAAGCAGCAGTAGGTGACTCTCCAGCCAGAGACGACATACGCAGCACTTTAAAGAAACCGTGAACACTATGTGTATGTACTTTATCACAAAGTGCCCTTTTGGAAAAAGTCATGTGTTTGTTTGCAGTTGTACTTTCTCTACATTTAATAAAAAATGCTTTTAGAAATTGCAGATGTCACAGGAGGAAGTGTTTGCTCTATTATCTGCTTTTTTCCTTCTCTGATTTGACCTAATTTAAGCTAGAAACATTTGATCTTTTATCTTAATTTACAAAAATAAGAAAAATAAAAAGACAAGAATACTAGTAGCTATATATCAGCTTTCTTTCCTTCTCTGATTTTCAAGCTCATTTAAGCTAGAAACATGTGGCTTATCTTTTAAAGATAATCAAGAGATTTACAAAACAGAAAGAAGAAGAAAATAATAGTAGTGGCTTATCTGCATAGTGCAGAAAATTGATCTGAAGCATATATTAATCATCTTTAGCAGACTTCATGGACAAGCCAAGAACAGGGTTGTCCCTGGGAGGTCATAGGTGTCCTAAAGTGGAGTGTGTATTTGCTTCTGTGCCGTCTTGTCACATGTGCAGGTCCACGTGACCACCACTACAGTACAGCACAGAACAGTTTCAAGGACCCCTTGTGCTGCCCTTTTATAAACATAGCCACCTTCTTCCTTTCCCTCCTCCTCAACCTCTGGCAGCCACTAGCTGCTCTCCATCTCTATAATTTTGTCATTTCAAGAGTGCTGTATAAATGGAATCATACAGTCTGTAACCTTTTGAGATGGGTTTTTTTCACTCAGCATAATTCCCTTGAGATCCATCCAAGTTGTTTCATATATCAGTAGTTTGTTCTTTTTTTTCTTGAGTACATACTGTGGATATATGATTTAGTTTTAAGAGCTAAGGTATCTTGTTTAAAGGTTCCATCTCTTTTTTTTTTTTTTTTTTTAAAGATTTTATTTATTCATTTTTTTTCC